TGCCTGTGTAGTATATAACGTTGCATCTATAATTAATTTTTGCTATGTCAATTTCTTCACCCTATTATTCCAATTGCTCATTTCCACAGGAAAAACAAATTACCTCTCCCCAGTAATGATTAATAAATAATTTATCCTCTTTATTCAGCCTTTTTTCACATAAAGCACATTAATCGTACAACTTTATATAATTGAGGATATCTAATTTTTATTTTATTTCATTATCTAAAAAAGTCTAATCAATTCCCTTTATTTGGATAGTCAGTGGTTCCATAATTCCATATTATTCTAAGTTTTATGAATAAACCATTTATTTTTGGGCTTAACTCCATGAAAAGGCCTTTTATTATAAACTGCTTACTGTTTCGTAACCAAAAATCAATCCATCATCAGAAAGTAATGGTATTACATCTCTTTGAATTCTCCATTTAGTTGTTGCATAACCAAGATGTATAAAGTTAAATTTTTAATCTTAAAATATGTTTAATCCTTCGAAACAATCATGTAGATGATATTCAATTTTACATATTTTTTTTAAATGGGAAAATTCTGAATTGAGCTTTTGTTCAAAATATCTGATTGCATCAGGATGATGATCTACTAAATGCAGCTGAATTTAAAAAACCTTTTTCCTTTTTAATGCTAATGCCAATAAGAATAAAGAAATATATCCAGAACCAAATCCTAAATCCAATATGTTTAAATCTCCAGCATTTTAAAAGTGTCTATAGGCCATCTTAAGTCCTTCTATCTCTTATTTCAAAGAAGATATTCTCATGTTTCCAACCCAAGGTTAGCTTGCCTCCCAATCCAAATCAATAGTAAAAAATTATCTAGGAACATCATTTAATAAGACATCAGTGAGATCAAGAGGTATTTCATTGTTTATCTTCCAACTTTTGACTTTATTTCCAAATATGTCTAGTGAGGCTTTCACAGAAATTAATTTTTGAAGCTCTTCTTAATTTATCTTCTGATTTTTTGAAACATTAATCCTTTAGATCTTATTTCCTATTTATGTAATTCCCTTTCGAGCAGGTAGGATTTTAGAGCTCTTCTATTTGAGATACAATTCAAAATTTTGCATTGTATGAGGTCTATTAAGTAAGGCTCTTTCAGCATCTACTAACGACGTTATTAAGTTTTCATTCCTCTAATTATGTTAAGTGATTATATTTTAGAACTTTTTTTTGAGGTTTCTTATAAATTTTTTCAATTCTTGAATTATTTTTATTTATTTATTATGAAATTTGACTTTTGAAACTTCTGTTAACACAATTTCTTCATTGATTTTGGCAGCCCTTGTGATTGATAACATTTTGATCATAGAAAATATGAAATGAATGACCACTGTTGTAAATGAAACGATGAAAATTTAAATTTTGATTTGAGTTGGATTCATACCTAAGTACACAGCTTATAAAATAAGTAATGGAGTGTCTTGAAAAAATGTTTTGATAATTGAAACTACAACTTTTTAGGGGACTTCGGATTTCAAGAAAAAAATATATATTGTATTTTATTCAGACCATTTTTCAAGTAAATTTGTGACAATATTCATTTAATAAAGAGTTGAAAACTGAGTAAAAATATCTATATACGAAGGTTTTTTTTGATTTATATAAGGTATTAATAAATATCTAACTATTAAGGCTAAATCTAATAGTAAATTAAAACAAATTATCCCAACTCCTATCCAAGCAATAGCAACTGATATTTAACAAGAATTAACTAGCACTATGAAGCAAATGCATGTGTACAATTCAAATTTGGTTAATTGACTGATTAATAAATCTTTGATTATGTAAAAATATCTTGCCAGTGTGCTGCCATCAGTATATTCATTAGTAGTAACCTTAAGATTACTGATTGTTAAACCAAGATAGCCTTCGACAAGAAAAGAATAACAAGCAAAAGCGATATAAATCAAATGACCTAACCATTATTGACCAGAACAAGCATTCACAAATATTATAGGTAAAAAGACTACTACAAAATAGTAGCTAATAAAATATATTGTAAAAAGGACAAATCCTATATATTTGATATTTATTAATTCTTATTCTAGACTAATTATTTTAGGGTTATACTCAAAGTAGGATTATTCTACACCAAATAATTTAACAATAAACTTTCCAAAAGATGTAGTTAAGAAAGTACAAAATCCACAAGCTAAATATTTCCATAAACAATAATTTGTGCAAAAAATTCTTCTAATACAATAGAAACCTTCCTATCTGATGTTTTAATAAATCCCTACAAAACATGAAAAAAACACCAAAATAATTCCTCCTAAACAACCAAATATGTAATCATTCAGTTTTTTCAGCCCTCTAGTATAATAGATTGAAATTGATGTCTCCCACACATCATCCTCCTTGTTATCGACAACATATATGTATAAGTTTGTTATTTTCCTTTAAACCAAAAAATCTGTTGCTGTTTTCATTGCTTATTCACAAACCTCCTTTTAAAATTAAATACATAATAATTGCAATGACATATAATTACCAGAGCTAGAAATTGAAGCAGATCTATCCAAAGTCTAGGAAGGTTGTTGCTCAGGCAGGTTTTCAATTAATTTTTCATTTTCTCCTAAATTGCTTTGCTTATCTTAAGATTTCATCTAATCTTCAAGTTCTTCTTATTATTCATTCTCTTATAGAATTTTAATGTTATTTAAGAAGTTCAGAAAATCATTTCTTTAGGAAGAAAATTCAATTTTATTTTACAGAATTGTTATTCTCTATAACGCCTATAAGGTCTTATCTTTAAAGGATAAATTACCAGACACATCTAAAATTTTTAATTTTTTAAACTATTGAATTTATTAAATATCCTTACATGTTTTATTTGATTCAAAATAGATTCTCCATCAATATCAGATAAATTATTAGACCTTAAGGATATTGCTTCAACTTCATCTAAAAGTCTCATTATGGCGTCAGAGTTATTAAATTTAATAGTTGAACTATCTCCTAAATTATTATGAGCTAAACTTAAGAAATCCAACAAAGTGACATTTTTGAGTTATTCTAAAATTTATAATACATCTTCAAGATACAACGAATTATATGAAAGATCTAAGTATTTTAAGTTTTTCATTCGTTTTAGATTGGAGAATAAATGCTATTTGAAGGGGTATCTTTCATCAAAAATGAAATTGCATTTCTATAGAACCATCAACTTAATTCTTTCATAGATAATTGTGTCAGAAATTCGTTTAAAAGTGAATGAAAAATATTCAGAAAATATTTTTAATGGTTCTTGAGCTTAAATTGGATTTACTAAAATCCCACTTTAAATAAGATTTTAAGGAGCATCGACTTATGGATTCTTTTACTGTAAATCTAATGGAGGTAATTTATTCGGTCTCTATATTGAAGAGGCAATTGTTTGTTACATTTCTGATTCATATTTTTTATATAAATAGAATGCCCTCTCCTTGTATTCGCTATAGTCTATTATTCTTTTTATTAGTGGGTCGAATTTTTCGAATCCAAAGATACTTTAATTTAATTCTCTCATTTTAACGCTATCTACTCCCATGCTTTCTATGTAAAGTAATTTCTAATAATTATGCAATTCACTCTAGAATTATAGCTCTTATCTTATTCTTTGCTCAACCCAAAAAATGAATGGAATATATTCGAAAAGCTATTCTTTTATTTTTCCAAAATAATATTTCTTTATTTGATGATCCTGCCCTACCGATATTAGATTTGGGAACTCTGAAACCTCTGTTAAAGGAAAGAAGGTTATCACTCCTTATTCATGCATTACATGAGAGTATGTCTTTAATATTTCTTTGCTTTTGATGTCCAAAATATGAAAGGTTCCATCCCAAGAACTAATACATAAGTGAGAATTCGAGTTAAAGAATAAAAGCTAACTTATTTTTAATTTTGTTATCCCATTTTATGAATATATTTATTTTCCCTTTTTTAAATACACAATCTACAAGTTTCCTTACTCTTACTATGCACTTTGATAGGCAATGGCGAGTAGTGACTGATCATTCGATACTTCGAGTTTACTAATCACTGAACTTGAGCTATTAATCGAGTAAACAAATGTTTCGTTTTTAGGTTTTGAATATAGTTGGGCTAAATTAATTAAAAGTGTAAATTACATGATCTAATTTGAACTATTTTATTGTTTCTCATTCCTATGTATAAATAATAATGACCATTATGATAGGATAATTTGGAAGTTGTAGCCCCTCCTAAATTTTGACTGATTTAAATTTAAGATTCATCAATGTTTTCATGATGAATAAACTCACTTATCATGGTAACTCTAAGTTTGTCACTGCTGATTGTTAATAAATGATCAATGCTTGAGTGAAAAATTATTTGCAATGCTTTTTCATGATATTACGGGACAAATCTCATAAGATCTAACTCAAATTTCTAATTTTAAATGTCAATCGAAATTTCATATATAAGCAAATCCCCCATAGTATTTCCTAAATTATTTTTATTTTTACCTGCGATGATATAGTCATAACAATTCGAAAATGCAACAGTTACTATTTGATGTTTTCTAAATTGCAATTGCTTTTTATTAGTTGCCTTTATAGCTTGTTTGGATATAAGGTCATATAATATAATGATACTCTATTATCATAATTATAAGATACAACACACCTTGCTACAACCACAAACAAGCATTTCTGAATTCCTTGAGATTGCTGCGCTGTGAACAGTCAATTTATTTCTGAATTGTTAAAAGAGCACAACATCGTATCTAATAAACTCTTGCCTTTTTTCAAATGTCTTCTTCAATAAATTTAGATAATTTTTCTAAGCTTCATCCATTTTTTATTGATTTATAATTAAAATTGATAAAATAAATTATAAACAAGGTTTTATGTTGAAAGATTTCGAACTGCTGTTTGAATATTACAGCTCTCAAGACACAAACAGAAATTTGGAGTTGATTAAGAGAGTTTAAGAAAATTGAGCAATTTGTAATTTATTGAAATAAATAGAGAATTATCATATTTTTTCTTTTTTAGGGATATCGGCTAAGGATTTTCCTTTGCTGTGCACTCTGTTAAAGTCATTGTAGATTCCTTTTTCAAAACTTTCTAAAAAATAAACATTATTATTACTCATTGAACTATATTTCCAATAGAATGCATATGGAGGCATAGTAAATAAACAAAAGAAACCTTATTAATTATAAACAAGTCATACCTAAGGCTTTGACAATATTCTATAATTTCCACTCAATATTCATAATTAAATTTAATAAAAATATTCATAATATGTCATACACATTTTCACATAATAATACTCATAACAATACTTAAAATTTCAAATTTTACTTTATGCAACATGAGCCGGAATTTATATATCATTCTTCTAAGAAAATTTTGCTTTTTAATTTTATCTTCATAATTCACCATAGATACATAATTATATGTAATTTAACAGCTATCAATTGGATTTCCTAATCTAAATTCAATATTCTTTAGGAAGTCATTTATTTTGAATAACATCAAAAGTTTTCTACTTTAAACATATTACAATTACCTATCAATCTAATTTAAGATTATTGTTATTTGTTTATGTTTTTTGGCAGCCTTTTAAATCAATATAGCAATTTCATCTTAATCTTTGGGTCTTTTTAATCTGTCCGACATATTCATAGAAGTATTCATCAAATCTGAAAATCTTTTGCTTGTAACCATTGAAGCAAATAATTTATAATTTTAAGCGGCTCCTAACTCAGTGGTTGCTTATTTTATGTAATCTAAATTCATCTCTAAAATGCCTTGCCATAACAAAGAATAACTGAGTTTAGTTTTTTCATTTAAATTTGTGTAGAGACCATGATCTAATAAGACTACTTGTTATTTTCCATTTAATTTTCTAACCATAATGTTACCTTTATGAGGATCTGAATGTACAAATCCATGTTTGAATATCTAATGAGCAAATGCAGTTGAAATAGTATGAGCTATTTTAGGGTAATTAAAATCGTGTTTCTCTTTTTCTCTCAGAATATCAGACAGAGGAGTGCCGTGAATAAACTCCATTACAATCATTCTGTCATTGCAATATTCTTCATAAACCTTCGGAATATAGATATCAGGAAATGGTTTAAGAATTTCTTTAATTCTTTTAGCATTATTGATTTCTCCATGAAAATCAAGCTCCTTTGGTAAATTCACTTACAATTCTTCAGCCAACCATTTGTATTTAAACCCTTTAAAGATAAACTCAGCTACATCTGTAAACAAACTAATTAGTTTAACATCTCCATCTATTTACTCTTTCAACCAAGGATGCTGAATTTTTACCGCAACTTCTCTACCATCCTTCAAAAATGCTTAATGCACTTGGGCTATTGATGCAGATGAGATAGGCTTTTTTGTGAAAGATTAAAATAAATCCTCTATGGTTTTACCTGTTGAAAGATGTATTTATCTCTCAATATCTTCGAAGGGTGTTTCAATATTCTAAGTGCACATAACTTCAAATGTTGCCCTATATGGCTCAGGTATAATGATGTCAAGCTACAAATATTTTCACAATTTACTGATCCTAAAATCTATCCAAATTTGATGTACAAACCTTTATTCTACTAGAAGGCTGATCTCAGTTAAAGGGCCCCATAATAATGCTTATCATCCATAGGTTGATCTGGCTGTGTTAGGTATGCTAAAGCCATATTAGTGCCAGCTTTTACAACTCTATAAACTCTTTAAAATGCAAGCCAAAATTATGTCGGATTCGTTCGAAATTCAGGATAAAGATACACAGTTGAGCCAGCCAATCTAGCTTTAATCTTTGAGATACGTGATTGATGGAATCATAACAGCTCCACATACTAGATAACCAAATGATTTTATCATAATTAAATTTTATTAAAACATCAACTCTATTTTGGCCAAACAAAAATGGCAGATTGTTTTGTTTAACGATATGCTGTGCTTGGAATATACATAGCAGATTTCCTAAGATTGGTAATTTTTGAAATAGCTGCTTGATTCTAAAAGGCTTAAATTTGATGGTAATTGAATTTAGGAAAGTAATGTTTAAATTAGTATGGTTTATCAAATATTTACTTTTGTTTCTATGATTGCTGATCCTATATTTGTTAAACTACATTGTTTGCTTATTAAGCCTGGTTCTCTTGATTCTAAAATTTAACTCATCATTTACTTATTTTTATTCTCTCAAACTCTCTGTTTTTTACAACTGAGAAGACGATCTTAAAATAGTGTGCCATCTTACTTTCTATTTTCTATCATATTAACTTCGTTTCTATTCAGTTTATAAACTGATTGTTAGTTCCTATGAATGAATTTTCAAATTACCTTTGTTATTTGTGGGGTATAGTGAGTTACAGGACATTTAGTTGCGTAATGAGAATCTGATTCACAATTCCAACAAATACTATTTATTACATTAAAGTCATTAGAATAAATCAATTTATCTCGAATCATCCAATATTTTTCAAAATCATCCTAAAAAGATCCAAGGATATCCATAAAAACCTCTCTCTTTAATTTGTATAACCTGCTATAAGAAATGGAAGAGGCAGATGCTAATCTAGGTCTACCAGTCAAAAAAGACCACTCGCCAAAATATTGCTGCGACTCTAATTATTTGATCCAAAAAGGCCTCTATTCTCCGGTGTTGGCGAAAATGAGAATTGAACCATAATCTATGAAATAAATAGAATAATCATCTAGGAGATAATCAACATTGTCTAAGAAAATAATTTCATTTTAAGCAAAACTAATTTCCTCAATTTTGATTGAAAGGGATCTTAAAAATTCAATTGAGAAAGTCTTAGACATAAATGGAATTTAGTCAAACATTTTACCATAAGAATTATAAAATAATTCTTCCTTGATTTCAGGGGCCAACTCAGCGAAAATTTCCTACTCTAAGGTCAAATCTCTTGTTCCTTCTTCATACCAATGCTCATTCAAATATCTTCTGACTCTTTCTTAAACTGCCAATGGAACTGATTTAGATTGCATAAATCTATTTACTGTTATTCTTTTTTTGAATATCTTTATGGGGTGAACATTAAACTCTTCCATAATTTTAAATAGTGAATTAACATTAACTTAGAAGATGAAAACAGCAAAAAATATTCCTCCAAGACACCAAGTGCATTCAAAAACATTCAATGGTGTAATGTCACCATATCCCATAGTTGTTGTCATAGTTCCTAATCCAAAGTAGTACGAGAAGAAAAATTAAAATCCAGGATTCAGTTCTCCTATAACTCCGAAATTACCATCGTTTAATAACCAGGAATTATATCCTGCTTCAACACTGGATTTTCCTATCACATAAAATATACAGGAAAATATCAAAAAGCAAAATTGAAGCAATACAATAATCTTTCCTACATTGTAGATGGTTCTTAATGTTCGATACAATAATGTAGCTTCTTCAAAAAGATAATCTATTTTTGTAAGTGCAGGGTATTTTAAGTAAAATAACAACAAAATTAGATTAATTGAGTCATTTGGTGTGAATGATTGAACACCAAAGGCCAAAGTGCCAAGAATATCTAATACAAAGTTTAATCTCAAATACTAATAAGCTATTCTTTCTTTATCTGTAATTAAATTTCCGTGTTCATAAAAGGCTGTCAGAAATTCTAAAGCTATGTCGAGTAACAAGAAGAGGAAAGATAATGAATCTATTATGTACTTAGTGCTGGGCAAGAAAATCTTGAATTAATAGTATTAATACCCAAACATCACTACCATAACACACTGTGATTGGTACCACGAAAAAATAGAGCAGAATTATCCCAGCAATGATGGCCTTCCAAATCAACATAACAACAGAATTTGGTAAAAAAACTGGAAGTTTTTAATAAACTTAACATATATTCAAGATATTTACATATATACAAACTATTTGTGGAATTAGGGTTTTTTACTATTTAATCATTCCTATTTCCAGCTATTTCTTCTCCTTCATCAAAATAGTTCAATAATGCATAACCGTAATCAATGGACCCTGAATTAAAAGTACCTTTGAAACCAGGAGTGCCAATCTTATAATTGCTTGATAGAAAAGAATCGCTCTTTTCGTTAATCAACAGCAACGGTTATTTATTAGATTTATTGATTCCATCCTCAAGAAATGGAGATGACATCTCATATTAATCTACAGGTTTATCCTCTAAGTTTCTTTAATTCATAACTAAAATATTAATTACACATTAATGAGGAGAAATTGTTTAATTAATCAGTTAGATTTTAAAAAATATGTATAATAATTCATAAGCAGGAATGTCCTAGAAGTACTACTAACCTTAAAAGCCTTTCGGTTATTAAGGCCAGCCTAGTCAGTCTTAATAAATGAATAGCAGGTATGGCAACCCATATGCTTAATAAATGCCCTAAGAAGATTATTTAAGAGATTATCATTAGAGATATGATAAAAATCTAAATGAATTACAAAGCAACGGATAAATCCTATCAGATCTAGAGTTTAGATTAGATGAAGAGAGAAAGAACATGAAAAATGTGAGACAACAACTAGAAAATAATTTAGAGAATGAAAGATAAATGAGGATAGAGTTTGAAACTAAGATCATAGCACTCAGGGATGATAATTAGAGAAAGGAAAACATCATCTAAGAATTGGAGTATCAAATTCACTATAATTAGTTACAAATTATAAGACACGATGATGAGAAACGATTCTCTAGAATAGGAAAATGTTGCTATGAGAAATGAATTCATAAGAGGATAGGAATCATATAACTAAAGATTAAGGGAATACGAAGACAGGAATAAGTAGTTAAATAGGTAAATGATTAAAATTATCAAAGATAATTACAATAAAACGATGAAAAATATAGAATTGAATTTGAGAGACTCATCAAATCACATGATCAAAAATTATCAGACATGACTCAAACTTATAAAATTTAGAAAGAAGATGCAGAAGCATAAATTAGAAGTCTCAAGACACAGGCTTAAGATTTAAATCAAGACATTTCTAATCTAATGAATGAGAATATGAGAATAAAAATGGAAGCCGAAGAAAATATTAGAGAAACTGTTGTAAGAGTATAAGATGAGGAAATGAGAAAATATCTTGGACATTTACGAAATGTAGAATAAAAATTAAAAGCCTCAGAAGAAGGAAGAGATAAATTAGCAAAAGATTATAATAATACACTTTCACAACTGGCCGATAAAGAAAGACTTTTAAAACAGAAATAAATGGAATATGATCAAAATTACACAAGATTTAAGTAAGAAATTAGTGAACTTGATTCTTAATTCAAATAAACTAATTAGGTGAGAGAAAAGTTAAGAAATGAATTATAATCTAAAGATTAGATTATAAAACAATTACAAGCTGAGACCATGGACTTACAAAAATAAGTCTAAAAAATCAAAGAACTTTATGCTCATTAAATGGCGGAGGCTTAAGAAATCAATGCTTAAGAAAAAAGAGACTTAGAGAAGGAAAAGGATGATTTGGCAAGAAAATTGAATTAATCAGAAGAAGTAATTTTATTGAAATTAATTTGTGTAGACAAGAAAATAAATGGAGGAACACATTGAAAGATTGAAGTTACAACTAGAAGAATTGGGAGGGTAGATTCATCAAAACATAGAGAGATCAATTTATTAGACTATCAACTAAACTAGCTTTTCGAGTAAATTCGAAAATAGAAGACCTTATCAACCACAGAAGTATCAATGAATATATATATTAAACTAAAAAGTATTATAACTAATATTTATTTATAAAGTGATTCGTTAAACATAAATGTGAGGATGTTTTAAGGGATTTATAGAAAACTATTGATTTTAGGAATAAATATTAATTTTTTTAACTGTTAAATTTAATGATTAATCGATTTGAAGATAAACTTGCTTTGGGTCTGTCAAGAACACTTAAAGATCAAGAGAATGTGATGCCAAAATCATCATTGATGAAAGATGAATAAAAGATATAGCAAATTCTGACTGTCAAATAAAAGGAAATTGAGTACAAGATGAATCAAGAGAAGGAGAGGTACCTTATAAATAATAATAATAGATTTAAGTAATAATACGAGTTGGAGATTAAGATTCTAAAGGAAGATCTGGCCTACTAATCTCATGCAGCCGAGATGGAAAAGGAAAAGTGTGTAAAATTGTTGAAAGATGAAATCTAAGGTTTGTAAGATGAAATTTAAAATATTAAAATCTAAAATATTGAAGAAATCAGTAATCTAAAGAGTAAACAACAAAGAGAATAATAACTGTAGATTAGTGAATTTTAGAGAGAAAAATCACAATTATTGGAAAGGAATGTTAAGGAGATTAAAAAGATGGAACAATTAAGATGTTAAGAATTAGAATAATGGAAAAATAGAACCTTGATGGATAAAGATTAAACATTGTAATTGTTTGAAGAATAAAAACATAAGGAAATTAAACAATTGACTGACACATTTACCTATTAATTATAATAATAAAAATAAGAAAATGAATAATCCTTAAGGTTATAGAAGACATAATATGATCAAAAACTACAGAAAATAAGTGACCAATTGGATGTTGAAAGAAGTAATTGTGAAATTTTAAGAAAAAGATTGTAGGAATAGAAAAAGTAATTCGATTTGGATAATGAAGCTTTGAAAAAGGAGAAGTAAATTAGAGTGGAACAATTGTAAATAGAGATTTTTTAGGAAAAATAAAAATATCAACAATTACAATAAGAAATGGATTAGATGAAATTTAATTTGGCTTAGAAGGAGTAAAAGCTAATTGAAGAGATAGAGTAAAAGGAAGTCGAATTGAGAAACCAATACCATGAGGACATGAATCAATTATATTAAAGATAGATTGAAGTTGCTTAAAGCTTGGAACTTCAATATAAAGAGTTAGATGAGGCTGCTGAGAAAAAATACAATAAATTGAAGAGTTAGTATGAAGAGTTATAATCAATAATGAGAGACACTTTAGATAAATAGGAAAGAAAACCTTTGAGACCTTTGCAACAATAAAGAAGTAAGAATATTTATTGATAAACTAGGAATCGGCTCCAAAGATAGATAATAAGAGGAAGAAACAGGATTATAAATGCTCAATCTTTTAGAATAGGCTTAACGAAGATCATCATAAATGTCAAATAGAAAAGAACTCAAAAAACCAATATCTTGATTTACTATTATTATATTTATTCATATACAAGTTCTATAGTCATAGATTTAGATTTTCGAAAACCATTTTAATTTTTTCTTTTGTAGCTGGCTTAATAATAACTCCATCAAAACCTTCGTTAATACTTTTCTCCTAATCAGATATACTGCAAAACGCTGTGACTGCAATGACTGGTATAGCTCTGATCAATTATAATTGGCATTCAATCTATCTTATTATTTAAACCGCCTCCCAACCACTCATTATAGGCATATTGATATCCATAAGGATACAATGATAACCAGTGCATTTACCACTACATTTATCCTATAATTTTTTCGAAACTTTTTCTGCTGCTTATTTACCATTGAATGCAAACTCAATCACAAATCCCATTTCCTTTATGATGTGGCCAATCACATCAATGTTAAATTATTCGTCATCCACAATTAAAATGGTCTAGCAATTACATTAAAATTAAATTTTCCTTGGAATTTCAATGGATATATCATGAGAACTAGGTTTCTTAAAAAAAGTCATTCCATTTTAAGAGTGCCCCTTTTTGTAATTTAATACTTTGACAGATGCACTCTAAGCCTCTTATAATGGTAAAGTTAATTATTATGACTTTTAAACTGAAGACTTTTCTTCTAAGTACTTTAAACAAAAATAAAATTAAGATCCGCTATCCTTAACTGATTCTACAAATAGTGAATTGAAATGAGAAGGTGCCAATTAACGAATAATAGATTTGCATACTTACAAACCCAAACCTATACCCACTGATTATTTTGAAACCTTTTCATCTTCATCTGCACCATACAACTATATTAAATTATAATTTGAATACCTTCTTTCTTAGTGTTATCAATTCTTCTTCATCCATTCCTACTCCACTATCCTTGATATGGATTTCCAATAAATTAGAATCATCCAAATAGATTTAGGATTAAACTTCATCTATTATACCGAAATAGGAAGGAACATAAGTTTTTTTTTTCACTTCCACTGTGATTCCTCCTTGTAAAGTAAATTTAATTGCATTAGTCAATAGATTTAAAATTACTTAACAAAATCTTTGTCTATCCCCTGAAATAATATAGGTACAATTGCCTGGGATATCTAATTCATAACTCAATTGTTTTCTGGAGATCTGATCTTTGATTAAATCTACACATTCTGTTATTGCATTGATCAGTTCAAACTTGTCTTCTCTTAACTTTAATTTATCATCTAGTAAATATCTATAATCAAAAAAGTCTTAAACTTTGAATAACTACAATTTAGTATATCTCAAGGCACAAGCCAATTATTCTGACATTTCTTCGCCTTTTAATAGTCTATCCTAACACTATTTTATGTAACCATAAGCTGCATTTAAATTAGTTAATAATTCATGTGAAATGGATCTTAATAAATTTTTCTTGACTGATTCTAATTTTTTCAAGCTGGTTTATAATAGAACTGGATTCAATTCTTGTAAATAAAATAGTTACAATTCATCATCATCATTGAACAATTTGTAATTTTCTATGACATGAATTAGGAACTTCATTTCATGTTACATCGTTGAGGGAGATTACCCAGGGTTTTTTTAATTAGGATTTTCCCTAATCATTTGCTCAAAGGACATTTTTCCACTGGTTGGTGTTGAGGGTTTATTGATACTTACTCTATATGATGATCTCTTCCGTGGTCTCCTTTTTAAATTCATATAAGGCTAATGTCTTAATTCAACAAGCAATGCAATATCTGCAGTATACTGTTTTTTGACAATTGAGTCATCATCTTTTGTGGTGAATGTTGAAAAAAATTGTTATTGATATTTTAATTTTGTATTTGGTTTCTCTTTCTAATTTAAATTATAGATTAATTTCTTTGAACTATTTTCAGGACTTTCCTCCTCTTTTTTATATATAACCTTCCTTATTTTAAATTAATCTATTTGGAACTCATCTCCGAAATCTATTAGTGACATTCCTTTTTGATTCAGTTCTGCCAATTAAAGATTAGATAAAAAATGTAATTGAAATTTTGAATAATTCTATATCCTATCAGGTGATTGATCGGTTTCTGAACTATTTGTCCCTTCAAGGGTTAAGGATAAGTTTTCAAAACTCTTATTTGAATAAAGTAACTGACTTTTATTTTTTTTAACAATACACATGGCTGAAGGAAATGAATCTATGATTAGAAACAGTGCTTGTATTTTTGAATAAATTGACATCAAATTTTGTTCCTTTCTCAAAATATGCATGAGGATGATTGATATAACAATACCCAAGCATTCATTAGATTTTTCTTCAATTATCAACAGATAACCAGTCACAAAAATTCCTAAATGAATCAATTTGAAGGATACACTATATGATATATTGAACTAAACCACATTTACAGTTGTGTAAATCAATAAAAAAGAGGAGTTCGACTAGTAAAAGTAATAGGAATACCAATTTAAAAGTAAAAGTTGAGATATTCGTGGTATTTCCAAGTATGCTGATTTGAAGGATTAATGGAGTTATATTAGTAAAAATAATATCAAATGTGATCCACAATTAATAGCAAGTTGAATATAAAGTTCGATATCACTTTAAGTTAGTAGCAATCTCGTTAAAACGAATAAAAAAGATATCAAAAGAGCAGGTTTTTATATAAAATCCAACTCTATCTAATGTTCTGACTGCTTCCACTGCTAATATGATGCAGAGGTAAATTTATTATAAGTGTTTTAAATAGCTCGAAAAATTGCACTTACCATCCTCAAAAATAATTAATAATTTCATAAAATTTATTTCAAACATTATCTGAAAAAATTGTGATTATAAAATTACAATAAAGTTAACAATCAGGTTGATTTACATTAATAAAATTCAATAAACAAAGTTATCATCATAAATTAATTTATAAACTTTATAATCAATAGTATAATTTCACATAATCTAATGTAAATTATTTAATTTAATCATATTTAAAATCAATCACAATAATGATTAGTATTAGAAAAGACTTCAAATCCAAAGTAATATTTAAATTTTTGAATAATTTTATTTAATTATTAAAAATTAAAAATAATAGTTGAATTCAAACTTCACAATAATGCCCCAAAGTTAGCAAACCTATTCTTTGAGTAAGACATAAAAATCTTCATTCCTCATTAAAAATAAGCTAAAACAGTTGCAATTATCGATGACGTCTTGAGTTGTAATATTATAGTGATAGACATGGATTAGAGAATTTAAATTAATTCATATCTATTAATCTAATTTTAAAAGGAGGAAGTTGATTCGAAAAGAAAAATAATCTCTCTCATTTTTATTTGACATTACATGATGCATTTAAACAATGAGAATATTCGATATAAAAAGTCTGGAAAGAGAAGCAAATTGCTCAGTCAACACGATAATGTTGATTACTTAATAACATTAATATTTAATTGCAAATTTTGATTCAATATTATTTTATAAGTATATAGTTAGTTAACATCTTAATTGGTAGAGGGATAGAGTATTAAATTGAACAAGCCAAACATAGAAAAGGAATCCGAAATCCATAATATCTGAAAAGTTAAGTTTGAAGAAATTACAGAAGAAAGTAATGTTATTTTGGCAATCTAAATTTATCAATTATGTATAATTCAAAAAATCGTTAAAGCAATCTAAATAAATATGTATTTAATGGAGTATTAGTAACAGTTTAGACTATTCCTGGTTTAAATGGTAAACTATCAATTATAAATGAGGAGTATTGAAAAATAATACATAAATTATTATTAATTCATTTAAAAGAGTATATAATATAAATCGTTACTCTAATTAGTTAGATCACAATTTTAAAGTCAACATTCTCACCTTAGTTAAACAAAAATAACCTTGTTAATAAAAAGCTTAAATTTTGACATTTTTTGTGTAGAAAATTATGAAATGATAAAGTATTTCTATAATAATTATATATGGGAATATGTTTTTTATATGAAGTAGTTGTTCACTTATATCAAATATTAATTTATAAGTTCATAAGTCTTTCATTTGAATTTTCAATGCTAATTAAATGAATTAAGGCTCTTATGGCTATTATTTAGGGTCTATATAAACAGCCGTTAGGATGATATAATATAATCAAAATGATAATAATATAATTATTTACTAATATACCGAAATAAATCAACTTTAAGCAAGTCACGTGGCTGAAGTCTCTATCAAAAGGAATCAAAAGTCAAGCTGTTTTTTTGGTAGTAAATTAGAATTGAAACAACCTCCCTATGTAATTAAGTGGGATTTAGAAAAACTTGGTTGAAATTCATTCTATGGAAGTTATAGTGGCTATTGTAAATCAATTTTAGAAATAAGTATTAACAATTGACTAGAATCTGTAATATAATTTCTTGAATAAATATAACAACTCTATATTGAACTTTGTTTGATCTTCATTTAGATGAGTTCATAATAATATTCTGAAATTGTAAGTAGTTTTGAATCGATATTAAATAAGATTACTAATAGAAAGCACTTAATGAAATTTGTAAAGTACAAATGCGGACCACCAATGCAAATGAAATTTAAATATAAAAAATAGAAAAAATAATATACTAATTGGTCTTTATTTATAATAATTTAGACAAAAAAGTACTTGTTTTAAGTTCATCACATGAGTGGCGTATCTTAGTTATTGAGTACTAGTATTGGCTAAATAACGAGATAATTGAGTCATTTGATTAGTTAATTTGCCCAAAATGATGGAAAAAGATTAATAATAATGGAGATACCATAAATTTTTGAATTTTCATTTTAATGTTTGAATTGTTAGATTAATATCCATTTACAATAATTAAATTTTAGCACTTAAATTGTTAACATGATGATGAGTGAATTCTTTATTCTGGATAAATCATTATAAATAATAAAAATTATTAACTTCTTACCATTTGAGAATGGGCTCTATTTGTTAGCAAGGATAAAAATCTTCGAACGAAAAAGAAATCCAGATTGAGATTTAGTTTAATAATTCTCAAGATAAGTTTGATGGGAAGCATAAGACAGCTAACAACTTATATAATTGTTAAAGCACCAGGTAACTCACATTTCGCAATGATTTTGCATCAAAATTTATTAGTTTAAGTTAATCATCTGATTCAGAACCAAATTAAGATAATGACCCTGTGGATAAAAGAACTTTTTTCTCTAATTTTTAGACATTTTAAGCGATGGCATCTCAAAAATCCTCTAAATTTGTTTCTCCTTAATTCACATTTGTAGCAGATGAAACCTCGATTGAGAACTAATTCCAATATAAAGTACAGACTAAATAATTAGAGTGAGTTTAATAATTTTGATGAGAGTAAAACGATTTATGTATTTAAAATTTATTTGAAATTCAAATATTTATTTTTTCAAGTATGGTCCTTTGGTAATAACAATATTGAACTTAAATTAGAACACAAACTCCAGTTAATTAAATAAATGAAATATAAAGAAGTACTGAGATTTTCTGAGGACCTAGTAGTATTGGCTGAAATTATTTTCTACAGTTGGGGTATCGCAATTATTAAGAGATAGAGGAAACTTCCTCATTATTAGTAATATATTTTCTTAGTTTTATACTCGGAAGTACTATATAAGGGATTTCATCATTTCAACAGAGATTTTCTAATTTCACAAAATTGATGCTGTTTTACCTAGGTTTTGCAATCAAGGGATTATCAGTTTGGAGTTCAACTTAAGAAAACATTTCCATCTCATTAAATGTTCATTTAATAATTCAATTTCATTTTTCAAAAGAATAAAGCATCCAATAAAGAAGTATGCCATACTATGCATTTTTCTTAATTTTCATCAATATGTTTAATTATCTCACTCTAACAACAGATTGCTACTTTATTTTTTCGCTGGATATCATTTTAGTAGTTTTGGATGCAAATCATCTCTCTTTAATTTTAGATAAAAATTCTAGGAATTCGTAATATCACTAGCCAAATAGTACACTCAATACAACAACCAACTAATTAAAGCTAGGTCAAACATTCCAATTTGATTTACCATCTGTGAAGAGTCCAAATGCAGTACGTAATTATTATGATCGATTTTCAACCAAGAAGTTAACATTTAATACAAAAATGGAAATTTTTGAATGTACTATAAGTTTAGAAGATTATTTAAAGAAAGAGTTTGAAAATGATCTTCAGAAAAGAGACTTTAGAATTCAAGAAGAATTTCTTTAATTATCATTATTATACAAATATAACAATGTTACACATAAAATTAAAATATCAGACTTTCTTTCTGATTATTATGAGGAATTATCAAATATTTATTATTTTTCAATTGAAGATAACGATATATTTGATTTTAGAGATACAGTTTTACTAATTGAGTAGGTAAAGAATAGTGAAAGCGAAACGCTAATTTAGTTTTTGTTTTTAGATGTCCCTTAAAAATATTAAAGGAAATAAAGTAGAGTTAGAAAATAATTGTTTTTTGATATGTGCAAATAGATATCACATGAACTTGGAACCAGTCTAAATTCTCTGATGACCTTTAGCAATTTAGCCGTTGAAGATGAGGGAATTTCAGAATAGATTAAAACAACTTATATTTATCCTATTCTAATTAATAGTGTGCAATTTAATCTGATTATTAATAATGTGAGAGATTTTACTCATTTGGGATTGCAGATATTTCAACTTAAATTAGAAGAGATGCAGATTATCCAAACTGTAGAATTTATCAATGCTTTATTTGAGGAGCCTCTTCAAAGTAAAGGCATTGAATTATCAGTTTAGTATCATTTAAAGAATCGATATTTAATTACAGATAAAGAAAGATTTGAATAAATATATTTTTAGTTGTTGTAAAATGCAGTCAAATTCACTTTATCTGGATAAATTCGAGTTAATATATATAACAATGCTGATAGATTTATTTTATCAATTGAGGATACTGGCATTGGTTTAAGTGAAGAGGAGGAACAAAATCTCAATTATTTGTTGGATAAAGATGAGTTTATTAAAGTTTCTGATAACTCTGTTGGTTCTGGAATGGGATTAGTGATATCTAACATGATCGTCAAATAAATTAATAGAGGAGTTCCTATTAAGGTAAAGAGACTGCTAATAGGAACCTAGTTTTATTTTGAATTGCCAAATGACATTCAAGAAAGCTACTTTTCTAATTCAAAGGCATTAAGAGAATATTCATCAGGAACTCAATCTATTAAGTTGCTTTCATAAAACTCTTACATTGAGGGACCTTTGGGATAACAATCTCACGTTATTTCATAAAATATATCTTCACAAACACTATAGTTCAAGAGAAAGAGAAAAGAAACGAAATCATTTTCGGTAGTTCATCACTTTGAAGATGAAATTGAAAGTGAGGTTTTGAGTGAATCACATAAAAATAAGTTCCAATTTTTACCATCTCTTTAAACAAAATAAAAGAAAGATATGTTGGAGTATTGTTTACAAAGTGAATGTTGCACCAGAGCATTGATTGTTGATGATGAATATTATAATATTAGATGTCTGAAATTAATAATGCAGAAATATGGAGTAAAATGTGATCATGCTTTTAATGGTTAGGAATCACTGGCTTAAATTAGTTAGAAGAAGGAGAATCCATGTTAACATTGCAATAATTAGCATTATCTACTTATATTTTTAGATATCAATATGCCAATTATGGATGGGTTTCAAACTATTAAATTAATCAAAACATAAATATAAACCGAAGAAATTAAAAGGGTTTATTGTATTGCTACAACTGGGTTATGTGATCTTTAAACTAAACAAAAGTGTTACGAAAATGGAATGGATTATTTTATGACAAAACCTCTGAACTAAGGTTTGCTTAAAGAAATTCTTTTAACATTCTTTCCTACTTTAGAAATTAAAGTTAATTGAAAATTTCATCGACTTTGAATTATTTTTATTCATGTTTTAATAATTATTAAGCTATTTAGTTCTTTTGTGTTTTGATAATGTGTTAACTATCATTATAAAGGGCATACCAGATTTTACAATGAAAATTAAGAGGAAAATGAAGAATATGGAACGATTGGAAAGATACAACTTTTGTTGATTTCAATTTAATTTTATTATTAGTAATAATTGCTTTTTAATTAGAATTATTGTTTGTTTTGAACTAATTTTATTATTAATTAAGTTTATTGCTCATGGATTTGTTAGAGTATTTGTTCGATGCAAAGATATTGATTGGCTTTGGAGTAGGTGTATTAACAGCCTCTCTAAGTCTAATCACGACGCTGAGAGAACACAATCGAGAAAATGCGCAATCTAAGATGAAATTATCAAATAAATCTATTCCCTCAACTTAGGATTTAAAACAAGTATATATCAAAGTAAATGAAAAACTATTATTTTAGAACGATCCCTCGTCAAAATAGAAGAAAAAAAATAATCAGAACACTAATCTGACGGAGCCAAATAAATAAGATTTATATTTCAACTTAGATGATGGTGTTAGAAAAAAAATAAAAGTCCAAAAGACTGATGAAGAGTCATCTTCTTAGGATCATTAGTCATCCTTGAGTATAAAGTAGGATGATAATTCTTAAAGCTCCCTTCCATTAAATAACAGTAAAAAATTTTATATTATATAGTAAATAATTAAAATGAAAGTAATCAAGGTTTGAAAGAAAAATCAGATGTCCCCTAACCTCCAAACTAAGAAGGAGGTCATTAAACCAAAAAAAGTGCATCCGAGTCACAAGACAAAGAAAAACAAGATTCAGGCATTCAAGTTGAATAAGGCAGAGAATACGAAAAAGAGGACAATTGATTATAATTCAATAATGCTATTTTTCAATTCCAATATCATATGCATCTCTTGGAATTCATATTTTAATTAATAATAAAATATGTAAAGTTAAATCAAATAGTTTCTCAATAAGTAATATGTGAAAATAAATGAAGCTATTTTCCTAATCTGAATTAGAGTCGTATGTTTGATTTGGATTTCATGAATGAAGAAGAACTTTTCGAATGGCTGCATTAAAGATTATTAATTTTTATAATTACTAAGGATGTATAAATTGGAGCCAAAGCAATATATCATTGGTGCTAAAAAGGATTTGGTAGGAGTTCAATGTTAATACCTAGTTTATAGAGTCTGGAATCCCCATGGTGAATTAAATCTTAATAGTAATAGCGGGACTCTAATTGAGAATCAATCCAAAGATGGTTGACGATATAACTTAACTAATTTAAGACAAAGAAGATAAACAGAAATTAATAGATTAACTTTCGTAGGCTTAATAAAAGCAAGTGAACTTAGAAGTTTCTAATGTAAAAATAGATATGAATATAGTCACCGAGAATTTTAAAAGCAAAACTTGAGCAAAAGGAATCAGGACTATTCGGTAATATTCTCACAGCTCTAAGATGTTGGGATAAGAAACAAAAATGATAAACTCACATTTAAATTTATTTTTTCTATGTTTTCTATAAGTGTTTATCAATTCAAGAATAGTATTCACTTGAATGATCCTCTTATGATGGTTGTTTAAATCTTAAAAAACTACCTTAAAAAAGTAAAAATAATGTTTAAATCAAAACCCCACTTATATTACTTTTTTATTGATATTTAATTTTTAGTATTAAAAATATTAATGATAAGGCCCATAGAATGAATAGGTTAAAAAGGATACAAAAATAAGAAAGAAGATAATTCCAAATTTGATAAAGATGAATAATCAAAGAATTTATAAATCTAATATAATTACAAAACTATGAAAATAGTGTTTGAATTGCTATGTTCATTTTGAAAGAATTGAATAAATTATAGGTAATTAGGTACTGGTTATATAAAGTATTTGAAATTGAAAAAAGACACCACTTATTAAATACTCATTGATTTAGTTATTTAATACTTAATTATAATTTTTCATATTCTCCACTTCTATCTACTCTTTAATTCTTTGTTAGTTGATTGACTCTAATATGTAATTTCAAATCCTAGGTAAGATCGATGAGATTTTTGCAACATTATTGAAATTCATCCAAATCAATTTTGAGGTTGTTGCAATTCATTTATTCTTCTTCATAACTTGATTTAATTCTCAACTCTTTGAGTACTCTTTTTGAAAAAGTCCTTAGTTTTTCTAATTCCAAGTCTATATTTTCAGTTGTTTAGTTCATAAAATAAATATTAATAAATATAAATAATGTCTTAATTTCAAATTACTTTATCCTTCCTTAATTTTGTAGCAATAAGTTCAAACAAGCAAAATTCATCTCTTAAACTTTCTTCAGCAATAATATTCCTATCTTCCTTTTCCTTCAATTCAAGGAGATGCATTTATTTAGGATCCAATGAACTGCCATCCTCAAATCGAACCAAAATATTTCTCTTTCTCACATAGGGTTTTTAATGTTCTCTTAGTAGATACCTAGCAAATTCAGTCATCAATTTTGAAGACTTCCTTATATATATCATAGACATATCAATTACTTGTTAATGAAGGCGTACAGATAAATTGAATAGGCTTGCTTTATTTACTATGCATGTAATTTAGTTTTCTTCATTATTTCAAATAGTTTTTCTTTAGGTATTTCAACAATCTCTTGGATTGAATTGATGACCTAATTTCAATTGATTAATTTATTACTTTATTTGGTATTATATCTTTGAAATGTTCATGCAAGATTTTGGAGTCAGTAATGTCCCTCATCACTTGAAAGTCTTCAGATGGATCTTCAAGTGTAATTTGTAGGCACTTCTCATCTTCCAACCCTTGTTTATAAACAGTCTTTAACATTCTACTGCCATGTCCTTTTCTTTGGTATTATGGTAAGAATAGCATTTGACTCAAACGATGTCTTTGTTTATTCCACGCAATATTGAACTTAAAAACAGTAGTCAAACCAACAAACCGACGCTTTTCATATAAGGTTAAGTAAACCCATTCATTTTCATCGCCTGGATATTGGACTCCATCAATTAAAACTAAAAGAAATGCTTATAAAAATGGTTTGAATTGGATAAACCCATTTGTGGTTGCCGTTTAACATTTGTAGATTCTGAAGTCTCCATATTCTTCAATTAATTCTCCCAAAGGCTCTTGATTTTGTTCCTCCTCAAGGGCTTTGATGAATTGCTCTTCAGTAGAAAGGAAGCCAGCTTCGTAGACTTTATTGAAGCTCTCATATAGATCATCTGCATCTTCAGTTTGCTCGCTGTAGGATATCTAAATTAGGTAGTCTGAATGAAATACTTGAATAAAGGGCTTCAATCCAAGGGCTGTGACATGAATTGTGATTTTGAGATCCTTGTAACCGTAAATTTCATTGGTTTATCTAAACACTTGATGTACGTAACTGGGTTAAAACTTCAACCCTTAATCTGACTTATACTACTCCACAGTTTCCACTAGAATATATGTGATTGCCAAAGAGCCATTGGTAACGAATGGATCGTCTTGTCGCTAGACTTCGGGTGGCTTTTCAAGATATTTGAGAGCATTCAATCTTAAGTATTGTCCTTACTCTTCGTCAAATAGGTTTGCCATGCAAAATATAAATATTATACATTTTGGCGCCAATCAAGTTAATAAATAAGAAGTGGAGAGATAGCGCAATTTATTAAATTGCTTAAATAATTGGTTAATTAGAAATTCAGCTATTGTATTTGCAGAGAATCGGAATCAAATATTAATTATTTATTAATAATTTGGAATCAATCTCAGCAATGTATATATGTTTATAAATATATATTAAATTCATCTTAATAAATAATTTGAGTAGTATTTTCAATCCTTAATTGTGTCTAATAAGGTCTAACTCATTCATTCTGTTAACCATTTATATTGATTTATTATTAAAAATTAATGGAGAAATTAGGCAATCTTTTTGAATTCTTTGTCACTGCTGGGATCAAGACTAATGATCAAGGTAATCATAAGTCATCAACCTATCTATAGATGTGATTCTGTAATCATGCACTACTTCAAATAAGAAGGATCTTGCCATACTAACGATATTCCCAAATCCAGTGGAACGAAAGATGAACCATGTTTTAGCAGATATCGCCTTGGTAAGTTGATGTGAATTATAATCATTTAGTGGTGCTTCCCCTTGGGAGTGAAGACCATCAAAGAGGGCGACAACAGATTTAATAAAATAGAAGAATATTTCAAAGAGGATGACATTCAGGCATCCACAAACGAGATCAATTACTTTGTTATCAATGATTTTAAATAGCACATCAAGTTTTACTGCACTTCAGCTTGCTTCTACGAAAAGATGTTCTTGTTAATGCCCCCCAATGACAAACTGATGTAGGTCTTTGTGCCTAAGGCTTTCTGTGTCATATCTCGATACCCTGCCTTCATCACTCAAAGGAGTTTTTTGCTGCAATTGCTCAAAATCCAGAAGCTGCGTCTCTCACAAAACAGGGAAAGAGATAAAATAATTACTATCAAAAGAGGACAACAGGAATATTAAATTGAAGAAATCAAACTCTATGACTTTTATATTCGAACAGCACTTACTTAATGTCCTATCGTATAGGATAAGTATTTGTATTTCAATAAATAGCAAGCGTAGAGTATAGGTTAAAGTTCAGCAGTTCTGAGATCTGGATGAACTACTATGTCTCCAACTCACATTTAACAACTCACTTTTCTATTTTTAAGCTGTCAAACAACCTCTTCGATGTTCTGATCTTCAACTAACCCATCTTTAACTTATACAAGTTACTTTTATACATGATGCTTGAGTATCAGATTATAATAGTGTCTCGTAAACCAGCAGGCATCACATTATTTTGTCAATCCTTAGTGGAATTGCTTGCTCCATTGCAATGGCGTGGTCTCTTTATTCCATTTCTGAGACCTGGATCATTTGATTTTCATAAATCCCAACTACCCTACATCATTGGTTTGGATAGAAATCTCTATGAAATAGTAAGTAAACTCATCTAAATTAGTCTGAAAAACCATTGCCCAAAGAACTAAAACGAGTTATTTATGATATTGACGATGGACGCATTCTTTCAAGATCAGATGATCCCAAATGTCCTAAATAATATCAAAATTACTTCATTCGAAAAATGAATACTGTTTTTGCAGAACTTAAATTCTATGAGAATGTAAGAATAATGAAGTATCATATAGGAAATCTTTGAAGAAGGCATTATGAAATATCGATAAGCATTCTACAATTTCAAGTTACTAATGTTAAATGACATCTATAAGTACTTCAGTACTGATACATCAAACTAGAAATCAGAGAAAAAGATTGTTATGTTTGATTATAAGAAATTTCTTAATTCTTTTGAAAGTTAGGATCAACTCTTTTTCTTGCAATTTCTTAAAACCTTATCATTTCAATAATTTGTAAAGGATCTCTATAAGGTTATGGAATATAGAGAAGAATTCATTAAAAACAACATCCAAAATGTAGAGTACTATTTCAGTAGTGTGCTGCAATTCTTTGACGATGTAAGATTTCTCAGTATACGTTTTGGAGAATAAACCCTTGATGACAAGTTAGTCATTTTAGAAAATTTGCAGAATAATTATATCAAAGCAGTTCTTGAAAGGAAAAATGAATCCAGTAATTATAAAGTAGTAGAAATGAAAACAACTGATTTCATTCCTGAATATTTGGAGCATCTTAAAAATAGCAGTCTCAATCTTAGTATGGAAATGCAAGCCTTAGCCAAATTCATTTAGACAGCTCCCCAATAGGAAGAAATTGTTGTTGAATAATAATAAAGAATAGTTTAACAAGGTGGACCAGACATGCATCAATCGGAAGAACAAGATAACATCTCCTAAGAATCCTCTAAGATTCAGTCAGATAAATCAGATCAACATAGTTAATTTCACCATTCATTACCTCCATAAGAAAAGGTTAATTGGGAATTGCAAACTATAGCTGTAAGCAATGCTTCGGAATATAGAAAATAATATTAAATTAAACATCTAAATCTAATTAGTAAAAGGAATACTTTTAGAAAAAAGAATTTACTAGAAAATGAAGAGGAAGAAGAACAAATGCAATTGAATCAAAACACAAATACGAACAACTTCATTGTGACCAATATTGCAGATAAAAATATGCTGAGTCTGCCTGTCAAAGATAATTAATCAATGGCAGCTAGATCCTATTTTAACAAGAGTATGGTTCCTTTAATTGGAGATTACGGAAATGCTGAGATTATGGTACCTAATTAAGATAACATGATTTGAATATAATTTGTAATGATATTTTAATTTGCAAATTTATATAATAATAACTCAGATATCAATAATCTTTTTATCATATAGATTATAATGATGGGTTATTATGATGTTGCATAATTTCAATTAAACTCATATTGTGATTACAGTAAATCTATAATAAGAATGAAAATTCATAATTTATATTTAATAAAAAGAAGCAATTTTAATTATGATATAAATATATAGATTAAAACAAACATATAAATGCTCCTCATTTTTAATTCTTAATGAATTGCAAATAGCCTTTATTGTTTTAACTCAATAAGTATTTAATTTTCCTAATTAAACCTAAGTTAGCTAAATTATTTTTTAGTTTATTTCTGTATTCTCTCTATTTGATAAATCAATTTCAATACTTATTATCCTTCCATATCGGATTGCAATTGTTCCTGTTCTGTCTACAACTAAGCAATCTTTTTTTTCAATTCTGCCTATTAATTTGTTAATTTTTCTAAATCGACAGAGGATCTTTCAAATATTTATTTAATTTAGTCACACTAAATAATAATAAATTATTCTTTTACCTCAGCAGATCTTTTATCAACATCTTTTTTAAGTTCATTTCTTTCAATATTAAACAATTCTTATCTCTCATTACTGACAGCTTCGATCTCTTCTGAACTTGATTCTAAAGCGAGTTGTAATGTTTTTAGCAATTGAGGAACCTCTTCAATTAAATGAGCATTCTCAGGTGCCAGTAATGGCTTTAAGGAAACTTGATTGTTAAATTATACATATACATAACACTAAGGTATAAGGGTTATCGATAACTACAGTGTCCAATTCATTTCTAATGTCATTGCACATCGCTTTAAACTTATTCAATTCATCATTCTACTTATTATTAGCTAAGAATGCTGGGGATTCGCTCAGATCTGGTTTTTTGGCTAAGAAATGAGCTAGGCCTTGAAATTGTTATAAAAATGAATTAATGACTTTTGAGGTTTGGTTTATTTCTTTTTTTAAGTTTTAGAGTTTATCAATCTAGCATAAAATTGGGTTAATTTACTTCATCATTACGAATAGCTTGCATTTAAGGTACAAATTTATTCTCTTCTGTTAATAATCTTTTTCTTTCCTCAAATATTTTTTCTGAAAATTCTTTTTCTTTTGTGACAATTGTAAGTTCTTCACCAACATTTTACAATTAATATTTTGATAGGAAGATCTTTTATTTCAATGCTTACTTTCTCTCAATATCTAATTTATAAATTTTGAAAATTAATACTGCTTGTATAGACAGTCTAATACTCTTTCATTGTCTTTTCACTATCCATCACAAGCTCAGATTCAAAATGATTCAGATTAATTATCAAATCGACAGGATCTTGAATATTATTTATATATAATTACTTTAACTAGATTTCAGAACTAGCTATTATTCTTTTAAAACTTTTTTTCCATAATCGCTTTGAGTCAGGAATTCAAAATCTTTGACAGAATCAGTCGCAAATGTGTATATGCACAAATATGCTAACAATACAATTCGTTTCATCCGTTTTTAATTTATATTTCATTAATATGTGCAGAAATAATTTGCATTCAATACATATATTTCTAAAAATAATTACTATCAACCATTATTGACATATAACACCGTGCTGTCAACACACAACTGTAGACTTTATAAAATCAGCATTTATGATTAAATCATATAAAAAGTAAACGAGGAAAAATTCATTTTATAAAAACACCATTTTCCCAATATCCCTCTATCACTTTATCCTTGTTTTCTAATTTACCATACCCATGATACACTCCGTCATACCATTCTCCACTATACACTTTGTCTTTAGAAGTGAATATCCCAAAACCTTGCTTTCTCCCCATATTATAATTCCCCTCGTATTTATTACCATTTGGCCACATAAATCTTCCAAATCCATGCATGTACCCATCTTTAAATTCGCCTTCATAAATCTCACCATCTCCAAAATAGTAAGTGCCTTATCCATTTATTTAATTCTCAGAAAACTCGCCCTCATACCTTGAGTCATCCTTGTACCATTAAATCTTGCCTTTCCCATGCTTCATTCCATTCTAAAAATCTCCTTCATAAAAATAATATTTGTTATAAATCTCAATTCCATGTCCAGAAGGAAGATTTTCCTTCCATTATCCTTCGTATTTCAATTAGTTTGATATGTACTTGCCAAAACCATGTTGTTAATCGTTTTTGAACTCTCCTTCATATTATTCTCCTTCCTAAAACTTTATTTTGCCTTAACCGTTTGCCATGTCGTTTTTCCAAGTGCCTTTGAAATATGATCCATCATGATAAAAAAACTAACCTTGTCCCTCCCTCTTACCATCCATTAATTAACCTTGATAAACACCGTTTGGGTATTCAAAATACTCAGTGACTTAGGCTGTTGGAGATTAGGCTTGAGAATCATGGATACTTTCGTAATGCAACGTTCTTTTACGATGTAATTTAAGATTGAAAGGGACCTTTTTGACTCTGTCATGAAATTGTGATTTTGTACTGTTTAGTGAATCAAGAGATTGAAACTTTCCTAAATCAGAGGAATTAAGAAAATGAATTTTGGGATCAAATTTGTAGACCAAAAATGAGTCGGACTCATCTTCAATTTAAACAGATTTGAACTCATTATCATTGATTTCAGCATGGTTACATTAATTTCCCATTATAAAAATAATATCAAATTTTAAACAGACCATTTTCACTTAGTTCAAACTCATCTGCCAATAAGTCATCAATTAAAGAATCCAAGTTGGATGAAATAGTGATCTAAATAACTCTAAACTGATTACCGAAGAACTTTAGTCCATTGATTAAGTTTATTTAAGGGGTTCATCATCCTGATACAATGTATTTTCATGGTCATTAATGTCACCATCATTTAAATTCATTAATTATGGTTCCTACCGAAACATTAATAATCTTCCTATGTGAGAATAAAATCTGTTTCTTATATTCTCTACCTAATCGCTATAAATTGTATGATTACTGTTCTTCCTTTCAATTATTTTTAAGCGACACTCCACTTAGGTCCTTGTTCTTTGAAAATTTTCAAAACGATCTCATCTTCTTTTTTGCTCCAAGGATTCATATTGACTGATGGATCCAATTTATTTAGATACCTTTCCCTTATTTGGCTACTACTTTTACCTGGTAAATGTTTGGCTATTTCTGCCCAATTTTAATCGTATTATTTAACAAGTTAGATAATTAACTAATCATCCTCAAACTCCCATCTCTTCTTCTTTTTATTCTTCAAATAAATAATATGATCTACTTCTTAAGGTTTCAAACTTCTCCATCTTTCTGAACACTAATTCATATTTCTTCCTGGCAATTATTCTGCTATGCTTCTCCAATTTCCATTGAAGTTAATGTAGGCCTATTTCAAAATTGCATCCTCATTTTTATCCCAAAGTTTAGTACAGTTGGCTTCTTATTTTTATTCGTCCTGCATAATTGATCCTCTGCGAGTGGTATTCCTTGACCTTTTTTCTTTTTGGATTTGTTTTTTCTTAATTTTTTCTGCTTCTAAGGACACTTGGTTTTATGATCTAAGGTGTAATGCAGATTTCTTACCTGGTCATATCCTATCTTTTTGGGGACTCCTCTACCACTTACAATAATGTAGTTTAAGCTAGATTATTTTACCTAATGTTTAAATGATATCTTACTAGTGAGATTGTCCTGTCATTATCTGCTAATCAGCTGTTGGTTGACTGCATGGATTACTACCTTAATAAACTCCATTGTTGGAGCAGACAGCCTTTGCCAACATTGAGAACTAAGCCAATTCATTTAATATATATTTTTATCTTGATTGTTCTTATGCTTCCCAACTAGCCATCATATTGGATTCCAGACAACGAGAGAAACCCTTCAACAGATTCCACTCTTAATAGTAATTGTCAACATACCTTCCATTTCAACTGATGTTTTTTCTGCTCCTTTATTTATCATACTCTAAAAGTGGTTCTGCTATTATGTTTACTAGGATTGTTGCCTCTTCTCCTACGCTTCCTATAACTTCTGCCATAATTCCTGCGAAGTTGATTGCAGCGCTTTCTGCGCAGCAGGAGATGGCACATATGCTTACCCTGTATCTAGCATTGGTTTATTAGAATCCTCACACGTGCTTAACGGCTGATCTTAGGCTTCCTGTTTTGACTGTCTGGCACAACAGAAGTTTAACCATAAGTCGACAAACATTTCTTTTTGTCAATTAAAAATATGTAATCAAAATTAGCAAATCAACTTATCACTTACATACCTGTACTCAGTATCCTTTTTTTTAAGAAGTATCTTATTTATAAATATTCAAACAAAAGCACACAACCAAAATTATCATTCATATCAATTTACACAACCTGATATGCTACTTTTAGATATCATAATTATTATTTATTTCTTATTAACTTTATCATCAAAATTGTGTATAACTTTACACTCTATTTCAATTTGTCCAAAATCTTAGCTGTTATTCTCCTCCATTACATTTTAATAAGCCTCATCTAATTTTATGCAATTCAAATCTACAATTGAACACAATTTCACATTTAAATTAAAATAGAAAAACACTAAAAATACAAAATAATGGCAACACATTCCATCTCCAAATATAGGCTGACCAAATCAATACATAAAGAATAACTCAAATTATTGAAACAATAATTGAGCGATCTAAATCCTCAAGACTATCAGACCAACAATCCACAACACAATCTCACCAATCTTACTCAATAATTGTAAAATCTCAATTCTCAAACCAAAAGATTTAATTCTATTTTCGATGAGATTAAACAACAACCACCCCTCGCATGCAACAAATGCAGCGCATACTTAACACAAAATTTTGATTTGTCATTAACTAAAATCCTTCAAGAATTATCATTTCCAAGTCAATAAGAAATAAAAGAAAGAATGTAAAGCAAGAGAAAATGCACTCAACCACTAAACTACGCTAATGAAGGAACAATAAAAGAAGATTACAAATTTTGATTTCAAATTATTTGTTAAATTTCATATTATTTCAATTCCATTCAGTATATTGTTGAACAAGATCGCTTAGGTTATTAGTCAATTAAATTCTAGCAACAACTTTCTAATGTTAATCTAGAAGAGAATATTTTACAATTTTGCAAAAAAATAATTCTATTAATTATGATCGGATTTATTAGATGCATAAATATATATCAATTTAATTGTTAATAGTTTAATAAATTATGATAACTTATATTTTAAATCATCATTTATTTCCCTTATTCATATTTTTAAAAAAATTAGAAAAAATCGTAAACTCGACACTTACTACATCTGGCTACAGTTTGAACATCACCATTTTCTTTCTAATATAAGTTCTAACTATTCAACAAATTGGTAAGGAGGATGATTTATTCATTATATTTAGGGCCTAAGTATTTATTCTTTCTTTAATAAATTCTTGAAAAAATTAGTTTTAATCTTGCTCATGCAAGCAAACGATTCTTGGCGATATAGGAGTAGCAGACAAACAGATTTAGAATACTTTTCTTATTGTTTTGAACCTCTATTAAGTTAATTAATAGATTTAATGTTAAGTAGACTTTACATAATTTATTCCTTTTTAAATTTAAGTTTAATAGTTCACTTTTGATCTTGATATTCTTTCTAATATGCAACCTTTCATAAAAGAATGAACTTAATAATAGCTATTGCTTTTATTTTACGGTCTTTGGATAAATAGTCAAATATGCAAGTTTGATCATACTCTTGTGCTTTAATTCTAAAAGATGCATTAAAGAACAACTCAAAAATTTCATACGATCTTAAAGATAATCTAAGACTATTCCTTTTTGTTGCCATCTTAAATTAATTTTAGAAATTATTGCCTGTATCTTAACTTGAATTCCTAACAATTAAACATTTTCAGAATTTTAACAAGTAATTTGAAAATTTTAATTAAAAAAAATGAAACTCTACATTTAGAATATATATAAGAGATTCGGATTCAAAATATAAAAATATAGTAATTCATTTGAAACTTTGAAGCCTTTTGGCCATATCTTCTCTTAAGTTGTCTTCACTTTAATGAACAAGATCGATTCTTTTAAATAAAGACTCTGCAAAGAATTGTTAAAATTAGAAAGCTTATTCTTATTTATGTATTAGTTGTTTCAATAAATCTAATAACAATATGTGATCATTGTCATCAGATGTTATTTATAGATTAATTTGATCATTAATAATTGATTAGAAGTATTATGTTTGTAATTTCACAGAATTTGTTATACTTTGAATTTATTCAAGTTGTTTAATACTTTTAGACATTCCCTATAAACCATTATACATGTCACAATTAAATTTGATTAATAGACAACAATTTTTTTATATAATATCTCTTAACTACTTTGTCTAAGTAATTATATTTGAAACAAGCAAATTTAATTCAATTTCGCTAATTTCTTGAAGAGTATTGGTATTGGTATTATCAGAGATGTCATTTTTTGATTGCTTCTCTGCAAATTTTTGGAATTCTTTAGTTAATAAATGCAAATTTTATTGAAAATCTTTCCCTTCACCATCTTTATCTACTTTTATTTTGTCATCAACCTTATTTATCAAATCAATAATTGAGTTTTAAAATTCGGATAAAAATGATCTCAATTTTGATATAAGATTATTTATCAATATATTATCTGTTACGAAATTACTTTCAGACAATATGATTTTCTCGAATTCTTCAGGATTGTAATCCTTTAATATAAAACTTTCAAAATTAGTGATTATTTCTTAATTTGCTTATATTTATCCATCTTTCCCATCAATCTTCCTTTGAGCTTGTTGTATTTTTTGTTCTAACTCTCTTATTTTCTATTTTCTTTACTCTTGTAAATCTGTCTCCTCATCATTATCTTTAATTTATTGCTTATGTTTTTGATCACCCTATTATTTTGAAGGAGAATGAAAATATTTATCCTTTTATTAGTTATATTGTTTTTCAGACCTAAAAATTAACTGCTGATTATCAAGTCCTCTGTTTTCAAAATCTTTTCTTGGTGTGACTTCATATTCTGCATCCTGGAATCTTTAATCATTGAAATAATTAATAATTGGAATTGATTAATTCTTTTCATTTGATTTTAACACATAATCTATAAAGCTATTTCTAAGGCTTTAGTTATTAGGGGTTCCCTTTTCATTTTATTAGATGTGCGAGTCTATCAAAAGGTCCATTTTTTGATAGGTATCATTACTCATCTTTTTAGTTTTATTAAGAAAAATAAATAATTTATGGTTAATAAAATCATATTTAGCTTACTAATCATATTTATTCCATTCCTAGGTCATTGTAAACTTAGTGATCTAATTCTATAAATTTGATTAGAATTCTTAGTTTTATTTTGCTAATATTTTAAAGATTAAATATTCTATTTGATAGTATTCTCATCAAAATTTAATCACTTTGAGATTAATCTTCAAAAATAGTGAATTGTTTTTTTTGGTGAATCATTAAGAGACAGCTTTATTTCATTAACCAATTTGGAGTAGCAAAATTTTCTTCTTAAAATTATTTAGATATTATTTTTAATAATTCTGCATATTCATCCAATTATTAATTAAATGCAAATAAGTAAAGTCTTATGTTACATGTAAAAATATCATCATCTCATTTAATACTATGGAAGCCTATTCAATGAGTCTGTATATCGTTTGTCTGTGTAAAATGTACCACTATCAAGTATTCTAGTGGCTCCTGTAATCACATGTTAGGGGGGACTGAATGCAGGCTACTAGATAGATGGATATAGGGGTTGTGATGGTTTGATATGACTAGGTGTCTTAGAGTGGAAGGAAACAGCATCTGATATATTTGGACTTGGTAGAGTGTGGATTTTAATAAATTCAGGTACATCATTATGTCTAATTTTGACAATGTGACTTAGATGGGCAGCAATTTCTATTCTATATGATGATATTCATTATGAATTACGCTTTTTCTTAATGGAAAATGATATCTGATGTAACCTACTCAAATCTGTTTGAGTATTCATCCAAGATATTGAAGTACTTCTCATTGTCTTCAAGTAAGGATGTTCCGTAGAATTGAATAACTGATGTCATACTATTTTCAGAATTCAATGTTTCCAAAAAGGTTACGTGAGATGACCATCTTTATTATACCTATAAAGTCATATGCAATGAATACCAACTGTTTGAGTGATTCAGCATCCTTCTCTTGATTTTATTAATTCTTTTTTTGTTTATTTTGCACATCATTGATCAACGACTTAAAGAATTGTTCTACAACTCTGATGATACGATTTTAAATGTCGAGTAATTTATTAATAGTATTATCTGTTGCATAAGCCATGCTATCAACATTGTTTTTCAAATCAAAATAACTTTTGGCAAAGAAATTAGCTAATTAGGTTAGGATAATATTTAAACTTTCTTAAACAATATCTTTATAAACAGTATTTAAGACATTCTCCAGACATTCAATTTTATTGGAGGTCTATTCAATCTTATGTTTTTTGATGTGCTCTTCTACACATTAAGGACATAATGGTAGTAAGCACTAAATGCATGAACAAAAATTAGTTAATATATTTCCTTTATGATACAAACACGGAATCTGAATAGTAGAATTTGATTCATACTTTTGGAGTATTAAATCCATCATACACAAAATTCTAGCTCAATAGTGTTGGTTATTCATTTGGTGATACATACACTTATAAGGTTTGCGATTTTATCTTCCCTTTTTCATCACTCATTGCATTTTCGTCATAGATATTTCCTTTGTTTGATGTTAATTAACTCATCTAGTGTGTCAGTTAATAAAATAATTATATAAATGAAACTTGTTTAAGTGAATAATAAAAATTTGAATGAAATTAAACTAAAAATTATTAGAAAGACTAGATGAGTCTTTGGCTCAAAGTTTTGTTCTTAAATACCAAGAAGAGAAAAATAGGAAGGTTGCACCGGAGGAATTCATAAGTGATGATTACAAGGGAAACTTTAGAGTAAGACAAGTTGGAGATCGGCAAGAAAATATGAAGAAAAGCAAACTAGATGCTATGTCTACTGCCACATCCAACTTTTATAAGGAGACAGCCACGCCAAATTCATCTAAACCTCCTTCCTCTCTTAATACTTCCAAATTATTGGATTAAAGCAAGATTTCCTAACTAAAACAATCAATTATAACAAACAGAATTACATCAGCTTAGCCAGCAAGGCCTTTAATGATTAAGAAGATGTAAAAGAATACTGAATAATTATAAATTGAACCAAAAGAACAAAAACCTCCAATTTTTGCATTAAAAAGACTCTCATCTGCCAAATAGTAATAATAAGATGAAGAGAAGTCTATCGTACAGAATTAAGAATCAAGTCTTAATAATTCCCTTGTAGCAAAGCCTTCAATACTGAGAAGATCTTCATTGACATCACATGCTAAAAAAATTGAAATCAAAAAAGAAGAATAAGAAGTTGAAACAAAGAAATTGTCCTTACCTAAGAAGTAAGAATCTCAAATATCAGAACCAGTATTTTAATTTTAAATTGCCAAAAGAAAAGTTGATGACATGATTTACGATACTATGGATATTGATACTTTATAAGAAATTACAAAAAAAAATGAAGTACATATATATATACAACTTAATTCTAGAGTTAGTTTGATGAAATCACATCCATTTAGTTCAGATTCAATACTATGAATGATTCACTTTATATGCTAGGAGAATACTTATCAAATTTACAAGAACTTAAACTGAATAATTCATAAATTGAATCATTACGTTTGTTAGGTACTAAATTGAGGAATTTATCAATTCTTTGGATCAGCAATTCAAAATTAACCGATATATCAGGTATAACTATTAAACTTATACAATTATTAGGAATTATGAGTATGCCAAATCTTGTAGAGTTTTATTGTTCATTTAATAATATCAAAGACATCAGTCCCTTAGCCTTTCATGAAAAGATATCCATTTTGGATATTGAAGGTAATGAATTAGCTGACGAATTCTAAATTGATTATTTAGAATCTTTGAATTTGCAATAATTGATTATTAGTTCAAACCCATTAATCAAAGATGATCATTTGAGGGATAAACTCTATGAAAAGTTACCAGCCACTGAAATCTATATTGATGATAATGACTTACCAACAGAGTCTTAGATAATTTCAGAGAATAGCCAAATCAAATAGCTTTATGATATAGCAGAGATGATGCACTCTAAATTTGATGTATATTCGAAATATATATTAAGCTCGGAAATGTAGAGGAATTGAAAAACCTAGAGGAATAAGTCAAATATTAATTAGACAAAGACATGTTGGAAGAACCTGATGAAAATAGATTACTTAGTTTATCTATCAAATAAAGGCCTCTTGAAAAGTCAAAATTAAAACGACCTTAAACTGCATAAGTTCAACAAAATTATAATGTAAGAGTTTTCTCTTAAACTAAAAGCCTGACCCCACTTCAGAGTTAGTTGGATTAGAAGAGGCCTTTGCTGGGAATCCCATTAAAGCAGCTAAAAAGCATAAACAAAATAGAGAATAAATTTTTGATCCTACTGATAGAAAAAGTATTGACATATAAACTTTATTAAATAAGTTCAAATGAGTAATGTAGTTAAATATAAATATATAGAAATCATTAATTTCTAAGTTCATCTATTATACCCTTTCTTTCTAGTTCGTTTATCTCCTCTTTATCATACCATTTTACTCTCTTTCCTTCCACCCACTCTCCTATTCTCATTACATTATCACTTGAATAATAAATTCCAACACCATGCTATTTACCTCCCTGCCAAATTCCAATGTATTTTCTTCCATCTTCCCAAAGGAACACTCCTTTGCCATGTTTCTTATCGTTTTCATATTCCTCATTTATTATAACTATAAATACTCCTTTGTATTGTCTTCCGTCTGGCCACTTGATCTCACCTTTACCATGCATCTTATTTCTCATCCAGTCTCCAGCATACAATCTCCCATCTGGCCATTGATAATTCCCAAAGCCTTGAATTTCGTTATCATAAAATTCACCTAAATTGTAAATGACAGTTACCTTGATAACAAGAACCATCAGCAAAATTCAACTTGCCTTTGCCGTGCTTTTTACCTAATTAATAATCTCCTTCATATCTAGCTCCATCTGGCCATATCTCTATTCCTCTTCCATGTTAACTATCATTTAACCACTTACTAATGTGTTAAAACCTATACTTCTCCTTGATATTTGGCTCCGTTAACATGGATATAAATCCCTAATCCATTTGCAGCATCATCCACCCAATCCCCATCGTATACATCTCCATCTGCATGTGTGAGTTTGCCCTATGATATTTATTCAATTTTACCTTTCCGCAAGATTTATCTTCTTTCCATTCCCCTTCATAAACGGATCCATCTGGCCAAGATTATTTTCCATATCCATCCCTCTTTCCTTCAAGCCACTCACCTTCATATTACGCACCATTCGGTAACAACATAACCTAGATAATTCATCATAGTTACTGGTAACTTAATTCTCTCTCCTACTCCCACAGTCTTCTGTATAAGAGGATTTTAATTTGCATCTTAATTTTGAATAGGAAGATTCTTTTCAATTTGCTTGATGGACATCTTACTATGCTGAGAGGATGCCATTAAATCAGAAACTGTATCACTTTTCTTTTTTTGTGTTTTATCCTCCACCCTTTCTTCGTCCTTATTTATTTGATGAATATGTTTCGACTTTTTCGTTTAGATTTCGAGAGATCTTCCTGAATTTTTTAAAGCTTAAATCTCTTCCTTCGTACAACAAGTGTTCATTGTACAGGTTTACCCCATTTTTGCTTTTTGAGAAATAAATATTAATTCTTTGAATTGAAAATAAATTTTTTGTAATCATTACTAATCTTACACCAACTGAAGATTGAACTCTTAATTATTAATAAATTTTAAGAAAATGCTCATCATTAAATTAATTTAATTAATATAGATTCCTAATTTAAATTAGGTGTTCTGTCTTATTCATCCAAAATTAGGGGCAAACACCTTACAATTTTATACCAAAACATTTTTCATTCAAATTTCAATTAGAAATTATATAAGTAATAATCAAATCACCATTCAAGCTTTGATTTTTTATTTCAGATTTTCAATCTAATCCACAATCTTCGCGAACATCCTCTCAAATAACTACAATTTTAATCGGAATTTACTTCATTCACATTCTCCCCTCCAGCTGCACTGCATATCATCCCTTCGAACCCCTTCTTCTTTGCATAAGCAAGAATGTCACCACTATCAACCTCCTTGTTCTTCAAATCCGATTTATTCCCCACCACATAAACTGCCGCTTATTTCAAATCCAATCCATTATCAGTCATCATCTTCTCCCACTTAGGTAAATTTTGAAATGATTGTCTGTCTGTTAAATCGCAAACCAAAACCACCCCTTAAGCATCAGCGAAGAATGGATTTCGTATTTCCTTGTAATCCTCATCACCCGATAAATCGAAGAAATTTATCTAACATGAATGCAAAACTTCATACAGCAACCTTCTTATTTTAAATCATCATCTTTTTAACACCATAGTCAACCCCAATTGTTGTGACATACTTATTGATGAATCTGCCTTCACAAAATCGTTTTATCAAACAAGATTTGCCACTCTGAGTGTCTCCAACCGAAATGACTTTAATTAATAATTACTAATCTTGCATATATATATAAAATAATGTTTTATAATATAATTATATCAAATAGTAGATAACATAAAAGAATACTTTAAGTTAACATCTTATTATTAGTATTATGTCAGAATCTTGCTTACATTTAATTTACAAATTAATAATTATTTGTTAAGTACTTCACCAAATATTTAAGCGCAAAAATTAATTCTTAACGTTAATATTAAAAATCCAATTTTCTGCACTAATGAGTTAATTTTAAAGACCTACATCATCAAGAAAAGGCACTAATACTCTTCCAATCCAATCAGGAGATTTAGAAGAATATATGTATTAATTGATTTTGATAGTAGTCAAATATTATACGATCATTAAAAGAGTTGTGAGAAAGCTGGCAAGTATTTGGAAGCTGATCAAGCAAAGAAAAGACTGGCAGAATTAAAGAAAGAATTAGATCTAAAAAACAAAGGAGATGTCAAAGATAGACACTGCTCAGAGAAACAAGACATTGAAAAAGCACATCTTGAAGAATTCAATTAATTTAATTAGTTTTGGGATCAAAAGATGGTAGAATTTGATAACGAAGCTTAAAAAGTGAAGGAATAAACTCTGTAAAGACACGAAGAAGAATTAAGATAATTTTCAGAAGAATTAGAAAATAGCCTTCCTGTAAAACCAAAGGATTCAGCTGAGCTTTTGGCCTTGAGAAAGACTGAAGAATAATTGGCTAGACAAGAAAAGTACTCTATAGTGTTATACAATTAGTTATTTAGAAGCACATGTTATTTAGTCTAGAATCTAGGCCTAAGAAAGAGATGAATATGAGAAGTGGACCTCCTGTAGATAACAAAAGATTAGAAATTTGATTACCCAATTGAGACAGAAACAAATTAATGAGTTGAATGCTCTAACATAGAGAATCCTAAGTGGATAAGAGGAATAAAGGAAAATTCGATCTCAAGAATTAGAAAAGTGAATTTGTTGATCTAATTTTAGGTTACTCTAAAAATATTAAAATGTGAGAAAAGAACTAGAAAGCCAATAAACTCAAGAGATCACAAGACTTGACAAGACAAACAAAACATAATGTACCATATTTGTTTACAATTATAGCTATTATGCAACAATCCAGAATGAATCAATCAAGGATGCAATCAAGTTAAGCTAAGGATGAGAATCAGTATATAAGATGATATTTAGTTAAAATGCTTTTATTATATATAAATTAAAATTCAATATGGGTTCAGCATGCATTAAAAAGCAACCTAATACGTAAAGGTAATAACAACAGCGATAAATTTAATCTCGGCAATCCTAAAGTACAAATGTATCCACACATTAAAACACATAACGTCAAGCTTCGGAATCCCAATAACCTTAATAACAAACCAATCAGATACATGTTAAAGAAAATTCATCTAAGCCATAAATAAACAGCGGAGTAAATGTTGACATTAAATTAGTTCACTTCACCAAGATCTGATCTAAATGATAAGTCAATAGCCAGCAAGAACGAACTAACAAAAGTTGAACCCTTGAAACATCGATTTCTCCAGCAGGAGTAGGATAGCTATTTTTTCAAAAATAATGATGCCCCAGATTCTGATATTGCAATTTAAGTAAAAGAACCAGATTTTACTAATCCAAACGTAGCCAAAATATTTAAATCTCTTCCTCCCTTTTAATATGATCCTGACTTGAATAAAAAATTTAAGGATTGCATTTCTCTACCTCCTCATGTAATTATTATTACCATATAAACTAGTAATTCATTAGCACAGGCATTATATATGTAGGCCAATGGAGAAATAAACAAAAGCATGGCAAGGGGCGCTAGTATTGGCCAGATGGCACCTATTATGAAGGCTATTGGTAAAATCACGGAGCCAATGGCAAAGGAAGATTGATTCGTTCTGATGGCTCATATTATGTATAGATTACTTTATTAATAAATCTAAGGAAGGAGAATGGGTAGATGATTTACAATGTGGATTTGGCAAATATGTGGATTGTGAAGGTAATATTTACGAAGGAGAGTGGTAAGATGATGAAAAGGATGGTCAGGGAACAGAGAAATGGGTATCTGGAGATACTTATACAGGCCAATATTAAGGAGGTATGAAGCATGGAAAAGGAAAATACCTTTGGTCTAATGGAAACTGCTATGAAGGAAGTTATTTCAAAGATTACATTGACGGATTCGGCACCTACTAATGGCCAGACGGACAAGAATACACTGGAGAGTGGTGGAAGAACCAAATGAATGGTAAAGGTACATTTATTTGGGCCAATGGCAATAAATATATTGGTGATTACAAAGAGGACAAAAAGGAAGGTTACGGAGTCTTTTCTTTCGCAGATGGGAAAACCTATAAAGGAGAATGGCATAATGGTAAATAGTATGGAAAAGGAGTTTTAATTGAAGCAAACGGAACAGAGATTGTTGGTGTATGGGAAAACGGTAAATTAGTTTAATAAGATTGAATCCTTAAATTTTAGATATTTTCCTTATATAAATATTACTTTTATACTAAATTTCATATTTAAAAATGTCATTAACGTATAAAAAAATGAATAACGAATGTCTCTACCATTCTTAAATTTAGAATTCTTAAAACGATGAAAAATTTTAATTATATATTTTATAGTATTAAATAATTACGTGAACTTTTGGATATTACTCTTGTGAATTCAAATGACTAAACTATGACTAGTATTATATAAAAGTGATCTATTTAATCAATATATATGATGTTCGTCTAAATAGCAGAATTTGATTTTTGAAAAATTGAAAATAGAAATTCCAATCTTCTTGAGAAATAGCCACTAGCATATCACAATAGAAGATAATTAAACTGTTAAATTAATATAAAAAAGAAAATAAATAAGACTAAACTAATATGAAGTCTCAATGAATTAAAAATTATCATTATTAATCAATTATTATATTTCAATTCTTTAAGCTTCTTATATTTTTGATTCATTTCAACCCATATACCAACTTTTTTACCATTATTATATTCACCATGATAGGTTATTTATTCTGATGGCTAATAATCACTACGAAATTCTTTACTCAACTCAATCCACTTCCCAATCTTGATGCCATCATCTTCATATTATCCTCCACCACTACAAATGGCTACATTTTAATATTTTACATTCTTTAAAATTCTTTATCTTTCTAATACCAAATATCCCATCGCCCAATTCTCGTATTATTTTTATACTCACCACTATAAATGACCTTCTCGCCCTAACTGAATCTATCACTTAATTCAATCCACTTCCCTATCTTAATGTTCAGACCTTTTTCGTCATATAATCCACCCCCACTAAAATTATTTATTGCTTATTTACATTTATTTATTCTTTTCATAGTTTTAATACCAAATATCCCATCTTCCAATTTTTTTTCCATATTGATATTCACCAGTAAAAGTTATTAATGAATTACTTCTACTTTCTTCACACAATTCAATCCATCTGCCAACCTTAAAGCCGTTTTATCCTTCATCATAATATCCTCCACCTCTAAAGTTTTTATATTTTAATTCCTTACATCTACATCCTTTCATTTTCAATTTCCCATTTCCCAATTTTTTTACCATCATTATATTAACCTTTGTAAAATACTTTTAAATCATTGGAAAAATCATAACTTCGTTCAATCAATCTTCCACTCTTCAAATCCTAACCTTTTTCAGCATATTATCCTCCACCCCTAAATTGTTATATTGTTTAATTCTTTACATCTCATCTAACTCAATCCAATCTCCAGTCTTAAACCCATCCCCATCATCACTATATTATTCTTCAGTTTAAAAAATTAAACCATGTTAAAAATTCTCTTTATTAACGGTTTACCATCTCCCAACTTTTTTACCGTTTCGATATTCCCCACTAGAGGTTATTAATTCATGCTCAGAAAACCCCACATTTATTTCAATCCACTTTCCAATTTTAACACCATTCTCCCCATTGTATGATCCTCCTCCACTTTTCACATTATGTAAATCTTTATATAATTAGGTTTACATCAATAAATTTGTCTTATGGCTTTGATATATACTTTACTGAATTAACCAAATATCCCACCTGCCAGCCTTTTTCCCATTTCTATACTAACCATTATAGGTTATCAATATTCTTTCATATAATCTGTCACTCAATTCAATCCATCTCCCAATCTTTATACCATCACCTCTATCATCATATGATCCTCCTCCGCTAAACATTTAGGTTTCGATATTAAACATAATAAATTTACATGCACTGAGTATTGTAAGGAGTGAAAGCTCGCTTTTTGTGCTTTAACCAAATCTCCCATAGGCCAATTTTATTATCATTTTTATATTCACCAGAATAAGTTACATATGTGTCTTACATAAAATCATCACTCAAATCTATCCATTTACCATTTTTTTGACTCTTCTAATTGTAGATACCACCTCCACTATTCAATTAATTAAAAGTTATTATTACATCTTTTCTTCTTCATAGAGGTACTTCCATTCCCCCTATTTTTTGTCGTTGTTATAAATTCCACATTCATAAACCTAAACTAGCCTTAATTATATTAAAATAATTAACTTGGAATAATTTTATATTATATCTTTCCAAAGGCCATGTTTTTTTTCATCCCAGTTGTAGTATCCTCCAACATCAATTAAAGTTTCTCCTTTCCATTTAGCTTTCCATTTTCCAATTTTTTCATTACTTTTACTATACTCTCCTTCCCATTATAAATATTGTATCTGTTCTAAATTATATAAGATATTAGGTAACTTGGAGGGAATCATCATTTTATCACTATTATAGCTTATTGATTTCTAAAATTACATTCTTAAAATTTATCCATCTCTGATATAATATAGATCATTCTCTTTTGTAATTGCAATTCTAACTTTAAGTCTTTGATATTGAGCAAGTAAATTATCCTAAATTAATTCTTCTACTTTCTGTGTTCCTTACCAAGAGTATGGTTCTTCTATTAGTTGATAATTGTTAAATTCGACAGATTATTTCATATTTTAATAATAATGTGTTTTATTTCTTTTACAATTTTAATATCATAAATTATGATTATAAAAAATCAATTTTATTGTTGCAAAAGCTTTATAACCTCAAAGAATGTGAAGATTTAAAGTGCAAACATACAATTACATATTTATAGGGCTAAAGGACTAATTAAGGTAATTTTGGTAATTATAAGTAACTTTATTACAAATACAAAAATATTATCTTAATGAAGATTTTATAGTTAGGTGGCTAATATAATTTTCAGAAATTTTGATTATGCACAAACATCATAATTGTTTCACAATATTAGAATTTTTGAATTAGTATATTTAAAACTAAAAATATATTTATATTCATATTTAGTATTTCTGACAATTATTAGTATAGATATAGGCAATTACTTAAACCTTTAGCCACATATAAAATACTATTGATTTAATTTTTTTAATTTTAGCTGTTGAAATTAAAAGCAAGTATTCTTTTTAAAACAGTAGATTTTACAAATATAATTTATACAATTCTTGGTCAAGCTAATTACTATCTTAAATATTAGTTAATTCAAAGAGAATAGATAAATAAAACATGCTCAAACTACATTCAAGTAAGTTGAGGTGGGATTACAGCATTTCATCTGATGCCCTTGAGCTATGAGAGAAGAAAACATATTTCCAAAATAAAATTATAATATTTGTGTTTATTATTAGACTACCTATAAACTTCACAATTTAGGTTTTTATGTGGAAACTTCCTAAATACCTAATACTTTTTCCAATGTATCCAATCCATATTTAGAGGGGGCTCCTGTTTCTTTTAATAGATTTCTATTTAATCTTGAATTTTGAATATATTCCTTATTCATAAACTTTTGATGCCACTCAATCATTTTATCAGTACCAGGTGTTTAAAGACCTAGCATTTCTGAGAGATCCTAAAATTGAGTATTATGATGTTGTTACTTTAAGTATGCATAATCCATAAGGAATGTCTTCCCAAAAGATTCTAGCTTCGGTATTTAATTAGACACCTCCCTAAACAGGTTTGGTAGGAATTTAAATAGTAGCATATCCAGCATTAGTTCTGAATACGGTTTTCAAATTAGATTTATCTTTAACTTGATCACCATATTATTAAATAATTCTTTCCTTAATTGGTATGATTAAATCTAAATTAAAATGAGGATATCTTTTGAGAATCTCTCTTTTGATAGCTTAGATTTCATCATCCAATATTTGGAGCATGTAGGCACTAAAATCATCAAAATCTTCATAAAATGTGGGTACTTCACTAGGTTGATAAACTTATTTTCCATCCCAATTCTAAAAATAACTAAAATTATCATACTCTAAATACTGCATAGACTCTAGCAGGATGAATGATTTGATTGCTAGGAGTTAGAGTTAAAGTCAAAAAGTTGGGTGCCTATAGGACAGGGATTTAAAACATGTTTTCTAATAATAAAAAGAGTTCTTCTTTTCTGCTTAAATCTGAGAGTGCACATTAAAGCTTAGTTTTTGGTCCAATTATTCTGACAGATTCTCCATATTTAAAAATTTTGCATAGCCAAGGAATATTGTAAAGACCAAAGTAGCTGATGTTATCAGTTCTGATTCTATCTCCAAAAACGCTTCTGCACATCCATTCAAATCCACCTTAAGCAAATAATGTACCCTTGATTATATTGTAATTGTAATTACCACAAACGAATCCTTTGTTACATATGGAGCAATTTTCTACAAAATTTCATGATGGACATGAGCTGGGCCTCCTATGATCCATAATTTTGCTCCTGGAAAATCTTAAGGATTATTAGAGACTTTATTAATTTTCCCTTAAAGATTCAACATATAAGGTCATACCCACAAAATTTCCAAGTGATTCCCATGGACTTCCTTTTGTCAAACCTACAATTTCTTGTTTCCAATCTTGAGGCTTTCTGGTAAAGACATTCACTTAAATGTTTTCAAAACGACCTGCTGATGCTACAGTAGCATGAGAACCATTTCCACCTCCGCAAACCACAATACTTGTTGGAATCATTTAATTTTATTTGATTAATTAGATTAAAGTGAAAGTTAATGCAAAAAAAATAAAAAATTTTTCCGATACCGGGGATTGAACCCGGGTCCCCAGGGTGAAAACCTGATATCCTAACCACTAGACTATACCGGAAATGTTAATAGCTAGATGTGGATTTGAGTTATATTTGGCAAAAATTTAAATTTGATATTTCATAATCTTTATAATTTTTCAATATAATTCAACAATTCTCTGGGTGTAACTTATTTTCTGTCTTCGGACAACTTAAACTTTTGCTGATAATGAGTATTATTCACAATATAAATTGTAAGTTCTAACATCTTTTCCAAATCCAATTCATAGAAGTTTTGGTTCTATTGATGTAAAATAAAAAATAAAAACCTTCAATTAATTAAAGACTTCGATATATCTTTCAGCCTAATCCAATTGGAAATCCTTGTCGGTGTATAATTCATCTGATTTGGAATCTAAAAGCATGACTCTAACATTTCTGGGAATGACTTGAATATCTTACTCATCAAGTTTGAGCAGTTCCTTCAAGCTTGGGTTATTTTAGAAACACTTACTTCAATTTTCTTAGGTGTCATATTTTCCATCTTTTCCTTAATGATTTTGTCAATCTGCAATTTTGGAAATATTTGTAATTTTTAAATATCACTCTAATGTTATTCATTATTACTAAGATTATATGTAGATAATACTTTTAAATATAATTACTTTAGGTTCTTTGTAGATAACGTGGTTGGTGTCCTGCATTTTCTGGTTAACTATAGTATCTTTTCAATTCTAATGGATGATTTTCTGGAATCAGATGTGATTCTTCCATAAGTTTTTCCAACAATTAAATTTGATCTCTCTTCAATCGATTAGCTTCTTCAGGATCGACATAAAATTGGAATTCCTCCATCACAGGTCCATCGGGTGTGAGATGTCTTTTCTTCATAAAATTAATTCTAAATTCATCCAGGATATCTTCTCTTTACTGAAATCCTTTGACTCTCTTCCTTCCTAATTCAGCAATAACATTATTTTGAATTTCAGCAATGTCTTTGGATTATTGTTCTTTGAGCATCTACTCTTGTCGTTGATATTCTTAGCGATTGATATTTGAGTGACCTAATGATTGCCATTTAAATTAGTAATATTTTTGTTTGTCTTTCAATTCTCGTTGTCCCATGAGAAGTATTTGCTTGAGAGTCTTGGAGTATTGGGACTCTTTGGAAGACTCATACAAAATGTCCTGCAGAATCTAAATTATTGGTGGGAATAATCAACTTATTCAATATTGATGGATTCTATTGGGCATCGAATGAGATTAGCCTATTCTTGGTTGCGAATGGACTCAAACTGAATTTAGTTTGTTTGTTGTTGCTCTTTTGATTTTTTTTTTATAATTGGCAATACAGGTTGGATGTCCTCAAAGATGTCGCTGTAATCGTCGTCCTTCTCTACCTTGTTGTTTTATTTACGCTTAGTATTCTTTTTACTCATATCAAAGATTTAAATATTAATATATTAAAATATTTAATTACAATTTCACTTCTTTTTTTTCGGGGTTGTTTGTAAAGTTCTGAATGCATTAATTGCAAAATAGGTCAAAAGAACTCCTCCGAGTATTGGGAACACAAGTAGGTAATTGAAATTCATTCCGAAAACTCCTATGGGAGGAGCTGCTTATTGGATTTCACTTTGAGTTTCCTTGAGAAATTCAGTTTCAAGAGTTTTGACAATGCTTGAAATGGTGTCATCTAATTATGGGTTTGGAATGAGGTCCTTGTTTTTCAGGTCCTTAATGTAATGAGTGTAATCAAAGCCCTTAACAACTTCTCGATAGGTTACATGGAAGGATTGTCCAGCTTCAAAATCTTTGATTATCTAAAAAACGCGTGTTAAATAGACGTGCTTACCTATTTACTATCTGCGAGGGGAAGGGTGGCAAAACACTTTTTAACCATGTACACTCTGATGTCGTGAACAATCTTGTCTTTGTCACTCTGTGAATAACGTTTAGCGACTGAATCCACTACATGATCAAATGTCTAAAAAAGCATTGAGAAATTAAAATACCTTGAATTTTTGATTGTCTTGCAATGTGATAAGCCAACATGAAGTGATAACCTCGATGTTATCAGACACTCCCTTAGTTAATTAGACACAGAGACAAAGACAAAAAGCAAATATGTATGGAAACATGATTTATTGTAATTATTATTAATTTAATTATTTTGTATGCCTCCTAAAACAACTAAGGATCAAAAGGGTCGATAGCTATTTAGAGTGGGCACACCAATGAAGGACGTGATACCATAGAGTGTTAAGAATCCACCAAGAGATCCAAAACCACTCAAAGCACCAGATCAAATTAACAAATAGAGTCTGCATGGTAAAGCAAATTGGTTAATGTAAAAGAATATCAACCATTCCCTGACCCTGATGAATGGCCGGGTGATGAAGCCGTTCAAGCCATAAACCTTCTATAGGGAGAAGCACAACTTACTAAGTATAATTTTGAAACTGACAAATATTTTCCTTTTTGGAGAAGACCAAAGAATTTTTTAAGATAAAGATGGCAATAGTAAACCAATATATAATTGATGTTAGAGAATCTGAACATGAACCACCTTACATGGACATGAGAGAGAATAGATATAATATGAACGATGATTATTACTCGACTAGACTTGAAACAGTTGAAAAAATACACTATATGGAGAAGGAAGTTGAACATCATTTGACTATTTGTGAGAGTTATGAGAGAATGGAAACACCTGAAGAAGTGGAGATGAGAAGGAAGGAGTTCTTAGAAAAATAGGCAGCTCAATAAAAAAATAAAAAGGGTAATAAAAAACAAGCAGAGGAAGTGTTTGATGAAAATCCTAAGATGACCTCTGATGTCAGATTAAGTGATCTAATTTGTAGTGATGCATTGCCACCCAATTCTCGTTGGATTGCCTCATAATTATAGCAGATTAAGGACAGAGATATAAAGGATTGTTTTACTCAGAAGTCACTCTCCAGCAAGATATATCCATAAAAAGATGGAGCACCAATTTATAATCCTAATGGCAAATATATAGTCAAATTGTATTTTATGGGAAAGGAGAGAAAAATATAAGTTTCTGATCACATGCCTACGTCATTTGATGGCAAAGCATTATTACCCTAAAGTGTCGATAAGAATTAATTATGGCCAATGATTATCAGTAAGGCAGTGTTATAACTATGGGATTATCAAAGCAAGGGCAGTTTGGTTGGAGATGGATTTGTTATGTATTCTTTGATGGGTTTATTGACCGAAACTATTGATTTGAAGACCATCAACAGTTGGGGTATCATAGACAATATGATGAATAATAATCATTATGTCTAGAAGGATGTGTTTGTATCAACTTATAGTTATAAAAATCAATCTACTTTAAATACAAATAATAGATCCAAGAAAGAATATTTATTGGAATTATTGAGGAATCCCAAAAAGGAACTTGATAATTATGAAATAGCCAGAAATAAAAATGGCTCGCCCTCTTAACATCAACAAATGCAATAAGAAGAATAGGATGAACAATAGGAAGAAATGTAGTAGGAGGAAAACGAGCAAAAGGTATAAAGGTTCAGGAAAACTCAAAGGGGGTTCTCTTTCGAAAGTTTAAGTCGATCATATTCCATACCTAAACCCCATAAAGCTCCAGGAAATACTAATATTAATACATGTTTTTCATATTCAATTGTAGAGCAGTTTTAGAATGAGAATGGATTTAATATGGTTTATGCATAAAAGAGAAGTGATAGAGAATTGAGATTGAGATAAGAATATTTTGATCTCTGCAAAACACCTATGAATAAGATGACCAAGGAGGAGAAACTGGATTTGAGAAGAAGAAAGAAAGAAATTAAAGAAAAATTGCAAGATGATGACAAAAAAAGGATCTCATTAATTAGTCAATAACCTGTTAAACATAGATACTTAAGATTAAAGAGTGATGTCTCAGGTAAAGATCCGGTGGTTGTTTTCAGTCCTCTTGCTGCTGATGAAATATATATTGCTAAAAAATGTATTGCTAATAAGCTAAACAAACCTCCTAATTATGATATTCCTGAAATTAAGGGTGATGATAAATCTGTGGTTTCAGCCAATATGAAGAATACTGATGATAGCTTCACTGTGAAACCTTTAGAGGACTTCTCCTCAGTTTCTAATGCTTAAGAACCTTTTAACAGAGGAGAGGGTGGATTCTGGGTGCATGAAAAAGAATTCCTAAGTCTTTTTGATTACATCCAAATAGCTTATGATCCAAAGAGATATAACATGTAAGTTTTGCAAATTCAAAGCAATCCAGATAATGATATTGCTGGTTATGACAATATTGAAATGGTAATTGTTCAAAGAGATCCTGATTCTGATGATAACGCATAGGTTGCATTTCTTGTAGGATTTCAACCCAAATATTCTCAGAATAAAGATTTTAATGAATAAATTAGACCCTATTCGATGTTATAGCGTTTTGATTTAGAAACATACGAGTCTATATTGGATTACAAATTGTTAAACCAATGTGTTAGTTCATAGATGCTATTGTTAGATAATAAAAATCACATATTCAAAATGAATATATACTCTCCACTCAATTTCACTATGTGGTTGACATCTAATAATAAAATCAGCACTTAAAGTGTGTTCGATTATTTGATTGATTATGAAAACTATCAAAAGTAATCCTTCCAAATTGACTATCCAGCATGTGAAGCCAATAGATACTATGTGTACTTTAGATTCAAAGTGTTTTTGAATTCCAACAAGGAAAATGGGTCATTTGTTTATAGATTGAAGAGCACAACAGATAATCAATTATTGAAATTTCTCAAAATTAAATTATGTGAAATTCCACCACCTGATAATAACCTCATGCTTACTACAATAGAAGGAGTTCATAAGAATCTATTTGAAAGTGAATCCATCATTAATGGTACTTAAAGAATGATGCTTCGAAGTTAAACTACTTACTACTTTATACTGGAAGGAACTCCTTAATACAACACTTAAGAAGGCACCTTCGAATTGGATTTCTTAGTCAATCAAGAATTCACCTTCACATAATTAGAAAATATAGAACCTACACGTTATTATGACAAATATGTTCCAACCAAATATGGTACTATTTTTAGGGAGAGGATCTTTGCAAATGAAGCTCAAGTTAGCATCTATGTTAGATTAACAGAAGGACAACAAGCTTAATAGTAATAATAAGTGGCTAAAGGTAAATAAACAAAGGGAGGAGCTTAGGAATTAGAAATAGTTGAATCTGAAATGAGAGGAGAAAGACTCATTCGTTTAGAATTATATCATGGGGATGATTTGATTGTGTATAACTATGGAATCAATTCAGTCACTCTTTCAAATGTTACATTGCCTAAAGATGAAAATTATGTAATATAAGCATCTTTTGATCTCAGAGAATGGCCAGAGGCTAAAATTAAATCTGAAGAAACTGATAATTTGTATTGGTTCACAACTATATTTGCATCAGACACTGTTGCACTTGTAAGAGATACAACAAAGGAAGACAAAGAAAAAGCAATTAAAAAGTCTTGGGAGGATAAAGAGCCAGGAAGAGCTGTGAATGCTAAGAAATCAAGAACGAAATATTTACTAACATTAAAGGAAGAATTAACTCCTGAGGAATAGGCTATTGTAAATGCACCCAGAATGACAAAAAAGCAAAGGGAGGAGGAAGCCAAGTAAGCAGCCCAAAAAAAGGGACCGAAAAAGGATGATAAAAAAGTGGGTAAATAATCAAAAGTTGAGGCACCAGTTGAAACTGCTCCTTAATAAAGATAAATACCAAAATCTGAGAATCATGTTAATGAGGCCATTACATAATTCTTATAGCATTTAGAATAAGATAGAATAATGGATCATTATGCTAGACATGCTGGATTGATTAATGTAAGAAGTGATGTGTAGAAAAGGGAAATAGTGGAAGGAATTTTGATGGGAAAGGAAGAGATTGCTGGAATCATCCAAAGAAATCTTAAAATGAGAGAAGAAATTAAGCTTCTTTAAAAGTATTATTTAAAATTAACTATAATAGGGATAATAAAGAAATCTTAATTAATGAATTCCAATCTTACAGGTCATCATACAAATAGGAACTTGCAGAGATATATTAATAACGAGATTCTATCAAATAGGATTTGACCTAATTAATGAAAAAAGAGCAATAATTATTTGATGTAAGATATGCATTAATAAACATAGTTATGCAAATAAGAAAAAATTGGAAATCCAGAGGATGTAGAGAAATTAATAGCTGATCCTTCATAATTAGATCCTGTTTTGGTAAGTGCTGCCAGATAGGTCATAAATAATTGGAGGATAGCAATAATTCAAGAAAAAATAAACACGGCTCTGTAAAATTTTGATGTTGATACATTACAAAAGTGTGTTGATCAAATTTAATAATTAAATATTGAAGGTATAGACACAAGTGCTGCAGATGATATGTTGGATGAAGCATCAGGAAATTAAAATTTTTAGGCAGAAAAATTGGCCGAACTTAAAAAGCAAGGGAAAAAACCAATTAAAAAATGAGAATTTTATATTTAGTAATATATTATTATAATATGACACTTATTATTAATTGTTTCATTCTTATGTTGGATACATTATTAATTATATATGTAAAATAACTAAAAAGTAATTTTATGTGCATCTGATCTTCATCTCAATTTTGAAACAGTCTAGTTGTTGATAGAGAGAGAAAAACATTAACAATTTGATGCAGTTTTTTTATTGGGCGATTTTTTGAATCTGTAACATCAATAAGGTGAGGATTCAGAGTTGGATAAATTGAGAAAGTTGTTAAGTCCTTTTAAGTCTTTTGGTTGTCCAATATACTTTATTCCTGGAAATCATGATAGTGATGAATTGTTGTACGATAAGTATCTAGAGGAAGGATTCATCAACATTCATAAAAAGTCATTACAAATACGAGATGATTTATGGATAGTGGGTTTGGGAGGAAGCATTCCAGGTAGTATAGAGATTTATCCTAAGGATACAATAAGCAAGGTTTGATTTGGTAAGGATATCCATACAAGAGTGATGAAGAGTACTCGCAAGATCTTGAGAAACTGAAATTGCCTAAAGAGGGGAAGATAATACTCATTACTCACATAGGTCCTGCGTTAAGTTAAACGACAA